AGTCGACCGACCGGCTGGGATCGACATCGCGTCAACGTGTCGGAATATCGCCCAGAATGCAGCACAAAATATCGCTCTCTATTCCCGTAGTCGCCCTCCTAGGTCTATCACTACTCTCGGTACCGACGGCAGCGCAACAAGACCCAGTGTCTGATTTCTGCCGGCGCTTTGGACATCAGACAGCTGTTGTTGACAACAAGCTGTTCATCGACGGTGGTATCGTCAACTGGAACCCTCTCTCTTCCTTCCCTGCCAATTACACGAGTATGCCGTAACCTTGCGACCGGTTCAGAGTCCCCATTGACGCAGCCATACCTTTGCTAACGCCGCGCTCAGATACATGGCTCTCCTACCAAGACCTTTCTACAACGTCGGCCACAGGCATGCCCCCTCTGTACGCGAACCTCTCCAAGAACGGTTCCATCCCCAGTGTTGCTGGTGGCGTCCTCTGGTCCGACTCGGTGAACAAGCGTCTCTATCTCTTCGGTGGCGAGCACAATCTGGGTGAGCCCCCGTTGCCTTTCAACCTCTACGGCTACGACATCATAAACAACCAATGGGATTCCTTCGGCCCGTCCCGCACTGGGGCTTCCATTTCCAAAGTGAGCTACGGCGCAGGGGTGTCGGTCGACAGCCGCGGCGAGGCGTATTACTTTGGCGGATGGCTGAGCAACAACTCCGTCCCTGGTTGGGGCACCGGCCCGCGGGTGGCTACGACGGGGTTGGTAAAATATACCATGGACACAAACAGTTTTGCCAACAACACCGGGTGGGTAGAAAGTCACTCGTGCGCTCGGGCGGGTTCGGATGGGAGCTAACAATCTCTGTAGTCCCGACAACATCCGGCGCGCCGAGGGCAGCTTGCATTATATCCCCGCCAGCGACGGCGGAATGTTGATCTACTTTGGAGGCATCCAAGACCTATCTGCCAACGGCACGGTCGCGGGCCAACCCATGGACCAGATCTTCATCTACGACGTTCTCAGCAGTAAGTGGTACACCCAGAAGGCGTCGGGCGAGGTCCCGGAGATGCGGCGGCGGTTCTGCGCGGGCGTGACATGGGTGGCAGATCAGTCGTCCTACAATATGTGAGTGTGCCCTTCGCATCCTTGTCCACTGCACAAGCAACTGATACCCCCGTCAAGTTACATGTACGGCGGCGCAACCGCCCCAGGCGTGCTCGGCGGAGGCTACGACGACCTTTACGTGCTCTCGATCCCGACCTTCACCTGGGTAAAAATGTACCCTGCCGGCCGCAACAGCACCGGCGACTACCCGCACCACTCGCTCTCCTGCAACATGATCCCGGGCCGGGGGCAGATGATCATATCCGGGGGCCAGTTCCCGACCACGTCGGTCTGCGACTCCCCGGGCCAGTGGGGCACCCACAACGTCGACCTGGGGGAGCAGAACCCGAGCAAGAGCCTCTGGGAGCTGTACAGGCCCAACAAGACGGCCTACGTCGTGCCGGACGAGATCCTCGCTGTCGTGGGCGGGAACGGCAACGGCGGCGCGACCAAGACGGCACCCGCCAACGGGTTCGATCATACCGATGTGGGCCTGCTGATCACCATCAAGGCCGATGTCGGCGTCCGGACGCCGACAAGGGTCGTCGCCGCGTCCGGCACGCCGGCACCGAGCACGAAGCTCTCCACAGGTGCCATCGTCGGCATTGCCATCGGCGGCACAGTCTTGCTCACCGCGCTCGCGATGGGATGCTGCCTCGTCCGCAAGCGCCGCCGGCAAACGCATCGCAACGGGACGTCGTCGCCGGGGCAGAGCCACCTCTATCACGCTCAGAGTATGTCGGAACCGTGGTCGCCCCCTTCGTCCCGGCTCAGTCCTATGCCGTCGCCCTACTCACCGTCATTCGGCCACCTCGCACGCGCCCCATTGCCTCCGCTGTCCCCACACCCGCAATCCCCGCGCGCGAGCCCGCCGGTCGAGCTGCCCACGCAGTCGTCGTTGCCGACGCCGGGGATCCCGACGGGGGACACGCCAGGGCTGACGCACGTGTCGTCGGCGGCATCGTACCCGCCGCAGCAAGCGTACTTTGGCGACGCGATGACGCTGCTGGGACAGGCGCAGTACGACGCCCACGGCAACATGTGGGTGCCGCAGGTGAGCATGGTGCAGGTCGCCACGGGTTCGAGCCCGCCGCTGCCGGAGTACACGCGGCCGATGGGCGATCGGAAGACGACGTCGCTGCCGGTGGAGGCCGAAGTGCAGCCTTCGCCGGCCCACGAGCCGCAGGAGTTGAGCGCGGAGGCGGGCGACCGCGCAGAGAAGAGCGCCCAGCACCAGACGTATTACAACCCTTAGGGCAACACGCGCTTGGGCAGTCGGACGCACAGTTTCGTCAAACAATCAGAGTCCCAAGGTACGAGATAGCAGGGGGGGCGAGGGAACAGCGGAGCATGGAGGTGTGCTTGATTACATCTCCTTGGACGGGAGCAGGTTGCGATGTCTTTTTTTCCCACTTCTTCCTTTTCTCAACGATTCCCACTTTGGCGTTTGCGTGCGATGACGGGATGTTCGGAGTTGCAGGCCAGATGGTGATCGAGTTAAAAGAATATTACGCACCTTTGAACATGGCGCAGCACTCAGCCCATCAGGGTTCTGAGTTCATCAGGGTCCGGCATGACAATGGGCATCAAAAAGACGCCACCATGAGTCGCACTCGTCCGTGACCACAGTGGGCTCCGTGACGCCCAACCCCGAGTACGGATCCCCCCTCTGTAAGAATTTCTAAAATTTTGTAAGACGCTCTAATCTGTAAGAGTCATGAAAGGGGAGCCGCTGTGTAGATTATCAATTGCTTGGGGCTCTGCTGCAAGAGTCCACATGCAGGAAAAACAAGTTCTATCCGTCCTGATGAACAATAAGGCCGAAGAAAACACCGTCGTCGACATAGCCTTCCGAGATTCCGTTGCGGCGGAGACAAGAGGGCAGGGATGAGAGTCAGTCGTTCCCCTCTTGGGGTGGCACCGGAGATGTCGTACCCCCACCCCCCTTCCCCCGGCTGACTCCCGTGCAACCGGGTCTCCGGATCCCGCTCCGAACAACATCGGCATCGCCGACATTTGTCTTCTTTCTTTCTTTCTCCCCCTCCTCTCCATTCTTTCCTCCGGACCGCAACCGGCCGATTCTGCGGCTGCAGCGTTCGTCCTATAGGGTCCCCCTTCTCTGCTCGAATGGGAAGCCGGCCGAGGAAACAGCAAAGACAGGCAGCATCATCATTATGACACTCGCAATCCCACCTCAGCGACTTATCACATCCCAAAAACCGGTTACATGCAGTGCCCCATGCAACCTCGCGACATGGCGCGGGCGGGAAGGGGAGGAGGGGGGGAAGGGTCTGATGGCGGCGTCGTTTCGCTGTCGATAATGGGCCTCTAGTCCAGCTAGTCCCGCCGCACAGCCGAAGCTACCCTATCTCGCCATCACCTCTCGCGGCAACATACTAAGTAATCAGGCCCGCCCCCAAGATAGTAACAGTCCATCCCAAGCAGCACTATCAAACTAGCTTCGACAACTAGCAGCGCAATCGTCGTCGTCGTCGTCGTCGTCGTAGTCGTCGCTGATCCAACCAGAGAAGATGACCACTCTCCGACTAATCAACTAATCCCATCGCCAAAGGGAGAAGGGTAGGGCAAACAAGGGCCCAGCGCCTCACGTCATCCGCACCACACCCGGCCGCATCACAAGGTGCGCACACCGGCGTCAAGTGCGCTTCAGCGGGCAGAGTCCCGCGCACCACACATTTGGACTCGTACCGTATACGGACAGGACACACTCAGCCACGCCACCCACACCTTTCCCACACCTTTCCTCTCACCTTGTTTGTACCACCACACCTTGGCCTTGACAGAAGCGACCCCTCCGCCGTACCTACATCTACGTGCCTGACTTGCGTGGTCACTAGCCTCGGGACCCGGCATCCACCACCACCACCACCACCACCACAATCACATTACCATCACCGCCGCCGCCCCCAATCCCAGTCGTCTCTCGCGGAAACCTGATCTGTGTCCAGCTTCACCGCGCCAGCCGAGCCCCGTCAACCGCTCCCTTGTCACCGTCGTCACACACACACACACACACACACACACACACACACGGCAGAATCGCCACGGCGTCCCATCACGAGATGCTCTCACCACACCAGGCCACATTCCGTCATGACACCGGTCCGTTTGGCTCGACCCGGGACAATCCCTTTCTATCTCACCATCACCCTCGCCATCACCACCCTCCTCTTCCTCGCCTAGTCTCCATCACTTGACAAAGCGTCGTCACGGGCCCAAGCACCTGACTCGAAGCGCCTCGTTCCCCCATCACCTCATACCTCGAGATCCATCGTCATCGACCACATCATGAACGCCCCCCGACACGCCGCTCGGCTCGCGGCGAGCTCCTGAACTATCAACAGATATCACCAAAGTCACCCGCCCGATATTGTCCCCACCCGACTCAAACCCCAAGTAAGAGTAAGTCACAACCACAAACCAGCCGATTGCCGACGCCGTAGTGAAGATGCAGGACCCCGGACCCCGTGCCCTCCCTCTCGCCCTCTAAAGGCCTAAGAAAGAAAGAAAGAAAGAAACCCCTGTGCGGTGGCCTCTCAATCGGTTATCATTCTTCCTGACGCGAGACACGAAACTACGTCTCGGACGGCACTTCATCCCCCATCTCGACTCGTGGGGAAGGGGGGCATGGAACAAACAAGGCTGCCGACCGAGGGCAACCAACGGCCGCGATGGGATCCTAACCGGCCGGCGTTGCACCACCATTCCCACGGAGGGAGGGCGAAGGAGTCTCGCCCGCGAGAACCGCTGGCCGGCTGCCTCCCGTAAGCAGAAACATTTAAGGAAAAGCAAAACCTCGATTGTCAGGTTCCCTAAGAAACGGTCTTTATTTTTATTTTTATTTAGTTTTAGTCTTCCTTATTTCTCACCCATCAGAGCCTGTCTCGATGACCCAAGAGGGCCCAGGCCTCGGCCGAGCGGGCGGCATAGACTAAGCGAGCACCGGATCCTGCGTCTGTAAATTAAGTATCCCCCCTCCTCTCCACCAACGACAAGCAAAGGATGTCGTGACCTCAATACCTAGAACAGTCTATGTGTGTGTGTGTGTGTGTGTGTGTGTGTGTGTGTGTGTGCCATACAATATCGACCCCCCTCCCCCCCCTAAAAAACAAACCAAGAAATGTCCCCAATCACACAAAACAAAACCGGGCGTTCTTATCACGGCATCCCTAAAGCTGCAAGTCCGTATTCCCGCTTCCGAGGGGGGGCTTCTGGGGCTTCTCCCCGGCCTGCCCCCCACCTCTCTTTATTTCTGCTGGTATCATGCTGGACTTCTGTCCATCTCCCGAGTCAGTCTCGCTTCATCAGACCCTCTGCGGGTCCCCCCCCCCCCTCCCCCACTAGGCCGGCGACTTACCATCTGGGGAAGAACCCGCCAGGAGGAGATCGACGCCGTGCGTCTGGGGGAACTATCTTCACATTGGGGGGAGATCTTGCGGGTCGTTGTATGTACATGTGTATGTGTGTGGTTCAGGTGGTGGAATTCTGCTTCATTGCTATGTTCCAAGAAAGCCAAGCTCCTCCCCGTTGTCCACCGCCGTCGAGCCGCCGATCAAACGGATATGTGCTCACGCGCCCTTTGCGCATGCATGCGAGACTGTGATTCTGAACCGCGAATCCGTACATTGTTGAGAATGCTTCCATGCTTCCTGCTGATCCGAGATATGCTATATAATTTGTTTTTGGTGACATAAATAATGTGATTCCGTCCAGAGAAGGGGGAGTACTGTATCCGCCATATGCCTCCTCTGCGGCCCCAAGTGTGAGAAGAAAATAATAACAAAATGCGCCCTAGATACTGCGACCCGTTGTGCCCTTCCATGCAAAAAAGATATTCGGCGCCCGTGGATGCCCATCCACCTTTCTACATGCCAAGGTGGTGACGGTGGCTGGATGGCGTAGACAACGTCGTATGAGTGAGACATAACAATGCCCGGCACAAACCGTAAAAAAAGAAAAGATGCAACAAGCTCCTGTCAATGAATCCTCTTCCCACGCCCCACACGCACCGAGGTTTAGGTGGAACCTCCGTGTTTGTGTTGGGAATGGCGTACCAGCTGGCCGGTCCGAGTCTTCAAAGACGGGGTGGGAGAAGAGAAGAAAAAGAAGGAAAGGAGGACGAGACAATCCCCCCCCCGACTCGCTGTGCCAATGCCGCCAATCAATGCCTGTGCCAATGCAACCCCAATTTTGATTTTGATTCCTTCGCCGTTCCCCTCTTTTTCTCACATGACCGAAACCACGGCGCTCCGCAGTGCAGGAAAAGACTTTGTAAATACGCAAATGGAACCCCGCAGCCTGCAATGCTGGCTCTCCTTGCCGGTGGCTTTCCCCCTTGTAGGTGAGGTCGCGCGCGGACGGTGAAGGGCATGCGGGTGATCCTGGAAGGTAACGATCCGGCACACCCGTGGAAGGGGGAGATGAAGACTGGTCCAATCTCCCTTGCTGGCCTTCGTTTCTGTGATTGCCCCCGCGTTTTCGAATGCGACGCTAAACCCCCACGGTCTGGGGCTGGGGTAAGACACACGCGAGTACGAGGATGATCTCATGTTCCCCGCCCGCCGCGCACGCAGCACACCGAGGGCGTGACGCGCTGCAAAAGGCCGTCCGTCGCCTTCCCCGATGCTGCTGTCATGGGATGGGCAGATTGAACCGTCCGTGTCTGGTGGTGCTGCAGCTTCCTACGAGCCCCCTCCCCTCACACGCCATCAGGTGAGGGTTAGCGACCCACCATGGGGGTCACCAACTCGATGCTTTTCGGCCTCGAGTAGCCCGGCCCGGTTGGTCTCCGCGTCGGCAGCGGCCGGTCCATGCCGCTGGAGCTGTAGTTGTAGGCGTGCGCGTTCGCGGCGTAACCTCCGTCGTAGGTGGCCGGGAAAAAGCTGTTGGTGCCACGGTTGTACGAGGTGCCGGGGCTGTTGGTGGTACTCTTGGTGAAGGGCCACAGGCTGGGGTGAGACGTAGAGGGAGATGGCGGGCTCGGGGGGCGGATGCTGAGCGACCTCAGCGCGGAGACGGCGGATGAGTACTGGCCGCCGGCGCTGGTGGCGGTACCCGGCGTCGTGGGCGGAGAGAAGTGCATCGAGTTCGGCCTCGAGGGTGACGCACGAGGTACGATGTCCCTCGGCTCTGGGTTACCAATGGCGTAGAAGGGATAGTTGCCCATGTGCGCGTGGCTGTGACTCCTGCCAGTTGATGCGCTTTGCTGGTCATGTTTGCGGCAGCTGAGGAGCGAGTGTCAGTGACGAGTCCTTGGGGGCACGCAGGTCCTGGTCCCGGAGGGTAACTTACGCTTCTGAGCAGTAAAGGAAGTTGGCGTCCTGGGGCACAAATTGTTTTTCGCAAGTCATGCTAGACCACAGACCAGTCAGCGAGGCTTCTTCAGTCGTTCGAGGAGCAATAATGCCAGTCGTGGGCGTCAACCGTCATCGAGCAGGCTTCGGCGGATAAGCAACACGACGAACTGGACGTCCATCGTGACGCTGCAAGGCACCCAAAAGGGGAATACAATTTGCAACTGCATTGGACGACGGCGGCCGGTGTCGTCAGACGACGTGTTGCGGGGTTGCCGGTGCAGAACATGGCGCCAGCCCAGCAGCCGCTTGCACCCCAAGCCCCGAGGAGAAACAAAGAAAAAGAGATGGAGAAAGGGGTCGGGGGACGAGACGAAAGGGATTGCTGCTGTGTTGGCGTGTGTAAACATACCAGAACTGAGGGAAGCTCTCCCGTTGATCATCCCACGAGTCTTGCAGCTCTCGTTCCCGATCCCTGGGGCTCTTGCCCAGCTTCTGAGGTGTCTGGCGGCGGGTGAGGGTCGAAGGGCGCTTGCCGTACCGAGAAGGGTCGGAGGCAGTGACTGTCTTTTCCGACATGGACGTGTTGCCCGACTTTCTGCGGGTGTGATGCATTGTGAGATGTGGTGTTGCGGTATGGCTGAGGATGACTGAGAAGGAGAGGGTTCGAGTTCTTGTGGTGTAGGGACCGGTGCGAGGTTGGCAGGGGTCTTGTACTCTCTCGCTCCGTCTCTCTCGTGTAAAGGTAGGTGGTGTGTTTCTTTCAGTCAGTGTCGGTGCCTGTATCGGTGGATGAACGGTGGGAGGAGAAAAGCGGGGAATGGTTTTGTTTGGTGGAGGGGTAGCGCTGTTCTATTCTCCTAAGCAGCGATGATTGACACTGGAGCTCTGTGCGATGCTTGTCCGTCCTTGTCTCGGCCGTCGGGTTTGGCAGAGAGACCACTGAGACGCAGGATGCAGTGAAGAAGAGAGAGAGAGAGAGATAGAGAGAGAAAAAAAGAGGAGATCCAGAAAAGGAAGAAGGTATCCGATTCTGTGAAAATTTTTCTCGCAGGAATCGGCGAGATCTGGACTGTCGGTGGCCTTGGAATGGGAAATGCAGTAAAACGGTCGCTGTGTCTCACGCGGTTCCGAGTCGAGTGGCAAAGTCGGGGGCCCTTGGTCTTTAGTACCCGGGCCTAGGTAAGGGTTGTTGGTGGTTGTGGTTGGGGGTTTTTGGCAGTGCTCCCTTAGGTACGTTGCCCGCTGCTGAAGAGATTTTTTTCCCCCGCGGGTCAGAGCGGGTGCTGGGAGGATTAAGAAGGGTCTCGAGCTATCGCAAGTGCAGGGGACGCTTGATGTGTGGTTTGGAGGGGTGCCTTATTTCCAATCGCTAAGGCGGCTTGGTGATGGATCGGAGAGATAGCGGCGGGTTTGCGTCTTGGGGGGGGTGGGTGTGGATATGTGTAATGTATATTTGGTCGAGAAGCTGATAAGTGATGGGAAAGGATGTGTGTGCGGCGTGGTGTGGTGGGCGTGAAGTAGGCCACCTGTAGATAGGTACCTTGGGTTAGCACGTTAGGTTGTGTGTGTGTGTGTGTGTGCGTGCGTGTGGTATGCCAGAGTGTGCGAGAGTGTGCGTGGGTGGTGGGCGGGCTGTGACTGTAACTGCGACTTCTGACCTGATGCGATTCCTTGAGGGGAGGTGCTTGATCCCCAACCAGTCCAGTCGGAGGTTTTTGACTGCTGACGGAACCCAAGTCGAGGTCCAGGCGTGATAAGAAATTAAAAAAAAGGGCGTGCCGCCAGTCCAAGCAGATCCCGACGTGTTGCTGCAAGCTTGCAAAGGAGGATTGGCCGCCTATGCCTTTTTATCTTTTTTTATTTTCGACGTGGCCCAACTCGGCTAAAAGAGAGAGAGAGAGAGGAAGAGAGAGATATGGAGACTGTGAAACTCGCGCTTACGGTTATCACTGCTACCGTACCAATCGCGAGTTGCTGGCCAAGCACGAGAAGGGGTGGTGTGAGAGGTTGCGGACTCGGTGTCTAAGTCATGAGCCGGGGTGGGTGACGGTAGTGTACCTAAGCAGTAGTATGGGTACACTAGGTCCAGAGTAGCGCGTGCTTGGTCTCGGTCCAAGAAGTGATGGTCTGATGCTATGCTGCCTCTGCGTGGGAAAGCAATATTTGCTACCGTCTCGAGGTGGTTAATCAACAGCCCGGCGGCGTGCAGAAACGAATAGGCGCTCTCGCAGGAAGCACGATGACGATAGAGCAAGAGGGCGAGTGCGGGGATCGGGGGCTGGCTAGTTCGAGCAGTTGTGCGTCCGTCTCTCCGACTCTCCGAGTTTATGCAACGAGATGCAATTCGTGTATCAACAGGACTGAGGGGTGAAGAGAAGAGAAGAGACGAGACGAAGACGACAGGAGAAGATGCTGACGTAGTGACTGACGTTGTCTTGTACTCGTGTGTGTGTGTGTGTATGTGTGTATGTGTGTTTGTGCGCTGCGAGATGAGGAACGAGATTATTTGAGGCTCTCTCTCTCTCTCTCTCTCTCTCTCTTTCTCTTTCTCTCCTGGAACCAGTCGAGCAAGATGGGCCTGGGTAACATTTGAAGTCCCGCGGGCGGAATGGATCATGACCTTGGAAGTGCCTGTATCAATGCCTCAGTTTACTGGGTGGACGGATGGATCGGTCGAGCATGACTCTTTCCGGTTGCCGTATACTCTGCCTCACTCCCTTGTGAAAGACGGACAGCTCTTGTTTGATTTTATTCCCCCCTTCCCTCTCGTAAGCCAGGGACCCAGCCGAAGACGCAAGGTACCTCGGATTGACGCAAGGACAGGCAGGGCCGTGGGTTCGCCGAAAGCGGAGATGTCGGGGGTACGAGGGTACGAACGGACCTTGCGCCTACGAGGTGAGAAATGCGCCGCCGATTCGTCCGTCGTCTCAACGTTGCCGATGACAGCCAGACAGCCAAAAGCCAGCGAGTATACCAGGACAAGGGTGCACAGGGCACAGGCTGTGTGGTGGCATCCGTGTTGGTTGTTGTTGCCGTTGTCGTTGCTGTGGGCGTGGTGGATGTAGCCCGCAGTGCCAAGTAGCAGCGACAGTAACCGGTGCGAGTTGCAGGCACCCTGATGAACCTTTCTCTTCTTGTGGGTTCGGAGTCGGGCAAGACGTGTCCGATTTTTTTCTGTTTGCTGGTTCCGATCCTGACACCGGGTACGAAGTAGGAAGGAAGCAAGGCGGGTAGGAATGGCCTTGTTCCCCTACTAGGTGGTAGCTAGCTGTTTGTCTCTGTCTGTGAGGTGGATCGGGGAGGTTTGACTTCTTTCAGGTTGGGTGAGACCTGGAGGATAAACAGATTAATTACCGCAATTGAAGAAAAGGGAGAAACGAAGAAAAATGATAATAATGGTAGGTACTCTTTGTCTCGTCTGTGTGTCATGCTGGCGTGTCTTTTTTTTTCCCCCCGTAGCGAGCTAATTTGGCTAGGAATGGATTTCTGGAACAATGCGGCTTCTGTGTGAAATTTTCTCTCTCGCTCTAAAATCCCCCCCTTTCCTTGCTTGAATGCTTGCTCTTGTTGTCTCTCTCTCTCTCTCTCTCTCTCTTTCTCTCCACACCGACTTATTGACGTACTCGAGGAACGCAGCGGCCAACGAAATGAACTTCTAGTCGGATCGAGATTCAAGATCGTGACTTGAGGTTTATATCATGACTGGCCCCCAGTGTATCCGTGCCTACCTCCATACTATATGATTGGTTGTAGTGAATGGCGAGCTCGCACTGGACAGGGAAGGCCTGCCAGTCTTGTTGTCCCTTCTGTCCTTTTTTTCTTTTCTTTTTTTTTTCCTCTCTCGTTTTTGCCAGATGGATGCTGTATTGGGCAACCCGTGACCCTTGTCTGTGACTCGGCGGGTGGGTCGATGGAGCTGCTTGCCCAGGCAAAGGTATCTTTTAGCTGCTCCTTGCGTGTGTGTGTACATACCTCCTCGCAATTCATAGTAGTAGGTACCTATGTGTAAGACAAGACAAGACAGGCGGATCTTCCCCTTCCTCCTTCCCTTCTGTGGGGATGTCGTGCTGGTGGACATGGTCGAGACTAGTGCACTAGCGGTTAGCGAGACGAGGGGGATGTGCAGACCAGGGCAAATGCCAAGCAGGGCTTCTGGTGGTGTAAAATATGGGGATGGTCCAGAAGGGAAACCAGACGATGATGCGATGCACGATGGATATTGATGCTTGCCGCAGGTCTGGGAGCCGGTCTGGGGAGGAAGCTGTGAAGTAATGGAAATGCATGCTTTCGGTGCCTTAGTTGGTTCGGCGGTCAGGTGTAGTGTCGCGTAGTGGGTACTTACCTACCTACCTACCACCTACCTAGTGTGCTCCCTCGTCCGAGATTATGCCCCCTTCCAGCAGCTACTGAGCTTTCCGAGTGTACGAATAGCGTGCACATCACGCAAGCCGCAGTACGTACAAGTACCTCATTAGCACCAGATACATCGCCTAACATACCTTCCTAGGGGATCCAGCGAAAACCAGAACCACGATATGGCAGCAGCTCCTCAGTAGCGGTCAACGGTAGTGGAATGGTGAATCCGTGGCTGCGATCACGAATGCTAGTCGCCAGCCACCCCCCGCCATTACACGATCAAAACTCGAATGCCAGGCACGGAGATGCAGCGGGGTGCGATGCGGTGCGGTGCGGTGCAGCGCCATACCGTACCGCACTTGGGAACTGTTTCTGTTGGTGTAGATGAGGTAACGAGCGCGACCAGGTGACCGGTCTTGCAATGCATCATCTTTGCAATTCTGGCGTCAGCTCAGTCCATCGGGGGCGGCGGCGCCTAGAGCTGTGCTTGCACGCCATCAGGGTACCCCATTAGCTAACAGGCGCGCAGGACGCGGTATAAACTCCGAGCCAATCATACACCTACCCCCCCCCCCACCCCGGCCGACTTACATAAGACGGCAGGGAGCGCACAAAAGGCAACCAAGGGCATGCCTCGTCTCATGCGACGACGTGCTCAAAGCCTCTACGGCCTCGACGCCAATTCCCTCAGACGTGCAAATGTATCGGTCCACAAGCAACGGGGCCAAGAGGTATATCACACGCCGGACCGTCCAAAGTCCTTGGATGAAGAAACAAGCAATCGAAATGCGGTGGGGCGGGAGAAGGATGCAGCGAAGCAGGACGACGACCTGGCCAGGGGTTTTTTTTTTTTTTTGGCATGACGACCTAGGTAGGTACACAAAGTACATCGTACTAGAGTAGGTAGGTGCTGCTAAGGTACCTAGGTAGGTAGGTAAGTATGTAACTACCAGGTAGGTATCTAGCCTGCTCCGTCCGCATGAACACTGCAACCTGACAATTCCCCCGCCGGAGCCTCTGGGACGCCCTGCCCTGCCGGCTCGCGGCGCTGCAACGCCATGTGCCTGGCTGCATACATTATATGCCGTCTTATGGAAAGAGGAACAGCCGCCTGCATGACCAGCAAAGAAAACTGCCCACGGGCATATGGGAGAGGTTTCTAGGGACCTTGCATCATCGTGAAACTTACAGCTGCAACTCTCAGCAACCTCAACGCCTGATTAGCCCGTCCTGTTAGTGTGCACGCCGTGTACTGTATGTGTTCTGTATTCCACTTGCAGGGGCTTGGCCAAGGAAGCTTCTAATACCATGTACACTACGGATGGGTGTTTTACGTACGCTTTTCCCTCTGTCATCGGCTGCTACGTGTAGAACGGGACTGGCCACTGAGTCAATCCCGTCTCTCGCCTTTCGTCCAGTATGTATGTACACTATGGAGTCTATGTTCACAACCGCACAACGCTGATATTTCTCCAGTTTCCTTGATTGAACCTCCATTTCCCCCAGGCTGAGACGCTACATAGATGGAGGGGTAATTGACTCCACATGTCATGTCAAACCTTTTATCCTACTTTATTCTATATGTTATTTTATAACCCCTATGTTGCGTTCAGAACGAGACGGCCGTAATGCAATGAGGCCTGGGCGAGGAGGGGTTTTTTTTTCTTTTCTTTCTTTTGTGGCTGGTGACGCAAACTCCGGTTTTTTTCTTGGGGGTGGGGAGGGGGGGGTTTAAGAAAAAATTATACTTTCGGCGCATCCCTGGGATCACCGGATGTTGCCTCAGTGCTTAACCGGCTCGACAATCTGGGAGCAACGGGACGGTCGCCAAACACTCCCTCAAGGTGCGTGTCAGCGAAACCCCACCGCGGCTCGACTTGACTTGTTACAATTCCCGTCCACCTTCCCCTGTCTCAACCGTCTTGTTGTCGAGTCGGGTCTGATGGCACGCGCACGAGGGCCGCCGTCCGCCGCAGCGGTAACCCCAGGACCGCAGACTAAACTATACCTACATCGCCTGTCATAAGTGGGACATGTGTAAAAGGCGCGCACTCGATGCCTGGCAGTGCCGATCAGTGCAGCGTGCGCGACGGAGCAAAAAGAGTCTAATTGCTTGGTAATTTACTCAGACATCACCTCATCCACTGCCCTGAGCACGTTTGCGCACGAATGGGACCCCATACTCCGTATGCAGAGTACCGTACACTATTCTGCATCCATCCCAGAAGACAGGGCAGTTCGAAACAAACTCCACCCGGGGACTTGGAATAGGTACAACTAAAGACTGAAGTAGACCATATACACCTAAATTGCCTACGTAGCCCACCTAGCCCACCTAGGTTGGTAGTGGTTAGACCTCACCTCCACCTCGCGGCCCTCCACTCGAGGGAGGGACGCACAGAGAGAGAGAGAGAGAGAGAGAGAGAGAGAGAGAGAGAGAGAGAGAGGAAGGGAGGAGAGAGAGGAAGAAAACCCAAAGCACACCCTAAGGTCAAAAAGGGAGTGAAAGCTGAGAGGCGAGAGGCGCCCCGAGCCCCCGTGTGAGGCGTCATGCTCCCGAACGGCGTCGCGAGCTTAGCCGGACCGAAGCCTTGTTCCCATGGAGTTGTCGTGCCACGCCATTTGCTGTTATTTTTACACTAGGTTCCGAGGTAGCGCAGGTTGCCCGAGTTGGATGTGTGGTAACTCAGGTAGGTTATTGTAATCTAATTAGTGTTTGGTCTCCAACCCTCCCCCTCTCCCTTGAACGGTCTGCTACCATGGAGAAGGCCGTGGATCCGCGGACCTCTCCGGCCCAGCCGCACCGGCCCGTAAGCCGCACGCCGACCGCCGCAGCAAAGAAGCAGTGCAGCGCCATTTTCCCAAGGAACAACACAACACACAGCCACAAACGACGCAACCTCGGCGCTATGCAAATAAAACAAAATGGAAATGAAACAATGGGTACGCAGAGTAGATAAGGGGAGCGAGGGAATAAGCGAAAGGAAAAGCAAAACGTGAAAGGGGGGAAACCAATGGAAAAAAAAAAACTGGACAGTTTTGTGGAAAAGGGCAGAATTTCCAAGATTCCAGACCTCTCAAACCCCCTGAAAAGACACACATAACGGTTCATGGGACCGAACGAAGGAAAAACCTAATTCTCGCATCTCTCATGATGTCAAGAATTGGCATAGCCCCGCGGAGCCCTATGGAAGAAACGGTATCCGCTTTTTTTCAACTCTCCTGGTTCCGTTTCTGCAAGGGGAAGGGTTCTCCCGGCCCCCCATCAGTCGATTCAGTCGGTGTTTGGGCGGGGCATGTGTGCATCACCTACCAAAGCTGTTGCTTCATCCCACGTTGAGACGGAACAACGTGAGTCGACACCATCCATCGCAGAGCACGTGTTTCCATCACGTTTGGCGAGACGACGTTCGGTTCCATTTCCATTATTCAAGCCAAACACCGCAGACGCATTCCACTGTTTCCCCCTTGCCCTGGCGAGCGGGGGCGATCCAACCAGAGAGAGGCAGCCGGCGGGAAACTCCCTTTCTCTCTCTCTCTCTCTCTCTGTCTCCGTCTCTGTCTCTGCCTGCGACCTGTCTTCCCATTCCCCAAGTGCCAAGTCGCTGGTTGACAGGAGTTGCCGTCTCTACCTCTCTCACTCCCTGGTAAGGTTATGTGGGAGGCACGTGGGTAAGAGGGCATGAAATAGTGTAGCTAGCGCTTGTTACAGGCTTGCAACTTACCGCCAGGTACTTACACTAGGTACTGCTGTGTTGCTGGACATGCTGGGCGGGAGCTCTCCAGTGCACTGCACCTCAGTGTACTTAGGTACCTTGGGTACCTCTTTGCATTGTTCCCAGATACGGTACGTATCCATGTAATTAGCTATCTATGCGCCTTGTTTACCTAAGGCAACACCTAGGTATGCTATGCATGGACGGATACCTGGTCCTTACCCATCCATCGTCCAGATACCACATCATAAACTGCTGGTACGGATACACATACGCGTACGTACATATCTTACGACGGAGCGTAGTATCCTGACACGGACTCCACCGCACAAGTCTTCCTGCCCGTCCCTCTGCAACATGGACGGGTTGCCACGAAAGCCCACGTCCAGCCGACTCGTCTCCGCCAGAAACAACAGCCGTCAAAGCCGAGCCGTCAAAGCCGTCCCCTACTGCATTGATACAAGCAAACAGTCGAGATCCGTACGCCCACTCTGTTGATGCAACAAAACATCATCATGCTCCATGCACGCCACGTCCGTCTCCATAGACACGGCGACCCCCGTCTGGTGCTAGACCCGATGGATAGGGACCGACGGTTCTGTGTCACGCGAAACGGCCATCGATGAATGGTCCGTCGAGTCGGGTTGCGACACAGACGGCCCTCCGTGTTGATCAACACTACCTACTCTGCCTATCATCCTATGGTCGTTACCTATCTTAGGTTACAATCACGTCGGGTACCCGTAGAATGCGGGGTACGGGCAATGCGAAGCCGTCGACCACAACTGCCACTTGCCCCCAAAGCCCTCCGTTGACTACAACGTGCACCCCTTCGTCGCTCATTTACCATCAGGGCATTGGTCCGGACGAAATATACGACCCCTTGCGGACGACTCCTCGTCGGTCTCGACTGGCGTGGCCGGCAGCTGTTGGGTGATTCCCCGTCGACCGCAGCTTCGTCAAACACGAAACGCCTTCGAGTCGCCTACAACTCAACTCGCATACACAATGCTGCCGTGCAATCAAGACCTCGCAGCCACTTACCGCTCTGGGGAGTTAACGCATATTGCCGTGGCATTTTACCATAGTAGCTGCGTCGAACCATCGACCCCTGGTCCACTGAGGCTGTCACATCCCCGCCATTGGCCCTCTTTCGTCGTACTCCAGGCGTGCCAGCCAACACGGTCGAGGGCCTTACTGCGTGTCGACCCGTGATTGACACAGTTAAAAGGGACTGATATGAACAACTCCCGAATCACGGTTCCTAGCTCGAGCTGCGTCTAGCCGAGATGCACTCCTCCCTCAGCCAGCCTTTGCCATGCGTGGGGGGTCTCGCATGATAGGTTTGGCGACTTCGACCTCTCTTTTCCCACTCGCCTGGCATGGGAGGGTTACGTCCATGCACCCAGGCTTCCACGCTCCCGAAATGAGCATGCCAGGGTTGCAGACATTGGGTGCCAGCCGGGAGAACGAGATTGATAACGGCACAGCAGCACGGCCAGAGAGAAACCAGTCTGGTATGCCTGTTCTCCAACGACGGCACGGCTAGAGCATGCACGGCATACGCTATCACCCCATGCTCGCGACTACGCCCCTCTCTTGCGCCGTCACAAACGACGCTCAATTCCAATTCATACTCGGAGCAATCCCGGCACGAATACCGACGCATCAGCGTATGCCACTTTGCGTCACAAGCACACCATCAAGGTGAGCGAGGGCCAGCCTGGCCGAGGCATCCTTCGCCTCGGCAGCTTACCTCGACGCCTAGATGCTGGGATGAAAGGTCAGCCCGTTCCAAGCCACGCCCCGGTTCAAATGCAGCTGGATGGGAGCTCCCCATTAACCAGGACAGGGGAGGGGAGGTGGCTGACGGGCTTACCTGCTCGCTTGCAACCCGAAGCTGAGGCAAATGTCGATGGAAGACTCTGCATCGAAAAACCAGCAACCTCTCGGCTAGACCCAATCGCTTGGACTTCCCAAACCACGCACGTCGTATGCTGCATCACACTCACGAACCGAACATCGAGAGTCGGATACTATCGGGATTGCTTACCCACGTATCAAGTGGGGTTCACCCCTCCTCGGCAGGCACCCAGACCCTTTGGGCGCCATCCAGACCAGACAAGACCAGGGGTAAGCTCATGCGAGATAACGACACATGAACCTCTCGCCGCTTCTTGAGCCGCCGCAAATATCTGCCTGCCCACCAGTTGGTGCGCTCGCCGAACTCCCCGAGTTTGGATGAATGGTTTCGTCTAATTAAACATTGGCGGAGAGGGGTGATGTTGGATATGCGAGTCCAACGAAAATACAGGCAGTAGCCGCTATACACACGACTAACGGTCGTCCGACATCCCCCCGTACCAACGCTCCAAGTGTCAGAAGTCCAGACTCGGGGCTATTTTGGATTGCCCTATCCCGCCCAAACCTTTCCCCCACGAGGCTCGACAGCCTGTTCCGTCCCATAGACACTGGGAACCCACGAGGCGCCCCGGGAAGGGCTCTTCGGGCAACGACCGCAGCCTCCTTGGGGTGTACGTTAGCGAAGACGATCTCTGGTTCGCAGGAAAGGATGGCTTTCTGCTTATCTATGGAGCGCGCGGTTGCGCGGAAGCGGAGGCTTTGCGGAGCAGACGAACCCAACCAGAAGGGGCTGGTTCACACTCCCCTGTCATCGCGTGGGGTGGCCTTCAACCCGCTAACCTTTGCCAAGCATCCGGGGCCCATCCGTACCGTGGAATTGGGGGACCCTGAATGCTTCAAAAAAGATTTTTTTTTTCTTCCCCATCTTGGGGGCGGCTATGTCAAGCGTGCCGGCTCTATTTCCGTTCTCCGAAAGCGACGCTTTTGTCGTCGAATGCTGGTTATAATGGCACACCGGCCATGGTTGGTGATGACAGACGTGAATGCCGTAATACACATGACTATCTGATCCCGGTGGCACACTTTTGCCATCTCGAGACTTTGTGTGACCACTTGGCACATGGTAGTCCAGATGCCGTTTGTGAATGAATTCCCGTCATGGCACAATTATCCAACTTATCAATCGAATTCGTTCATTAAAGTGTCATAAGATCATCCCAAACCAGCACTAATACCCCCAATTCGTACTTTTTTGCGCCTTTCCCGTTGTGTTATATCAGTCACCCCCAGAAGTTCCGCACACGCCTGGCGTGATGAGGGCCATCGCCCAGAAATACAACAAATTGCATTACACCCCTTCACACACTCCGCTCTACGCGGTGTTGTAGTACATGTCAATCTTCTTGATTTTGAACAAGGCATCCTCGGCCGGGGGACCGGCGGTCCAGCCCGGGTCCCCGTTGGCCCAGTTGTTGAAGACCCAAGAGCCGGGGGCGCTGGGCACGTTCTGATCTATCTCCTGGATGAACACGCCGTCGACGTAGAAGTTGACACGGTCGCTCAGCCAGTCGAGGCGGTACTCGTGCCCGGTGGTGGTCGGGCTTGCGGGCGCCGTCACGTTGAAGACAGTCTTGGCGATGCTGCTGTCCGTAGCCTGGTTCTCGAACCAGAGCTTGAGATCGCCGTTATTGCTTTGGGACTGCGGGTCAGACAGCCACTCAATGTCCGTCTCCTGGTTGTTGTCCGCATAGAAGAACATGCCTGTTCGGGGCGTATGTTAGTCGTGAATCTCGAGACAGGATCCGAAAAAGAAGGAGGGTCTCCTTACCATTGCAGACGCCGGGGGTCTCGGAGAAGACGGCGACGGTCCGGACGGAAGCGTACCTGATGTTCGACACCTTGGTGGTGACCTCGCCGCAGCTGTATGGCATCGCCGTCTGGCCACCGTCGACCCGTAGGTTGAGGTAGCCTCCCTGGATGAAGACGTTTTTCTTCAAGTACTCGTGCGTGTCCTCGACAGGGTACTCGCTCGCCCACAGGCCCCTGGGGAGCTTGGCGCCGTCGGACAGTGTGCTGAAGTCCCAGGTCTGATGGTTGGAGAACGTCATGGCGCCGGGGATGTCGAAGACGCCCGTGACACCCGTCTTCCGCGCGGGATTCGCCGAGGCGCAAGCGGCTAGGAAGGCCGTGACGAAGAGGGAGAGGCGGCCCATGGTGAAGATGAGACCGGAGAGAGGAATGGGGGGGGGGGGGGGCTTGTGAGACCTCGTAGCGTGGAAGGTGGCAGCCGGGTCTTGCTTCTGGAAGGGAGAGGAATGGTGGGGATGTTGAGGAATTTCGGTACGTGTGAATGTGTTACTATCCAATAAGTCTGTCCTGAACCCGGGTAGTTGGTTCTCTTATAACAACGTTACAGTTTCCTCTATCTACGCGTGACGGACGTCACCCCATATGCGTCTACTTGCACGGCACGGTTTCTCTCGACGTCTGGGAACTACCGAGCAGTCTTTCAAAGGCTTACAAAAGCTCGCCTCCTGCGCTCACTCTGTGGCGCCCAGATCCCCGGAAGCATCCCACGGTAGTCGTCGTCGTGGTTGATGGGCGGACTTCTAGGTCGTGGCCCGCCGGAAAGGGGCAAGGCATGGGCACGATCGAGGCAGCGCCTCTCCGTGCGTCTTCCCATCGACCGGGCTGCATGAGGGAGAGCGCGGGGAACGACACGGATGGTAGAGCGCCTTTTCCCCTAGGCTCTATTGACTCGACGTCCGAGAACGAACATGGGTGGGCAGGGTGGACTTTTGCTCGAGTCCAACGGCTTCTCCTAGATTCAACCGGACCAACCAGATTCCCTCGACCGCCGCCGAATAGGGGATCTTGGCCCAGAGGAAGCGCCCTTCTGGGCGCCTTTGTGATGTCATATGGGTGAAGGGCATCTGGGCTCGCCCATCTCGCCGAGCTCTGTTGGCGGACGTGGTCTTCAGGACCCCGTGCTCACCCATAGCCACCAGCAGCCTCTGCCAGGCCTAGGCCGACCGCAGCCCTGGGACTTTGGCTCACACAAACAAGCGACAGCCGGACCGTGTCTCTTGGCCCTCTTGGGTGCTAGCGGGCTGCCATGCACTCGGGGCGGGCCAGCGAGGGCGGCACTAGGCGGCACGGACTGCTAGGCTAGAAGGGTAAACGTAGCCACAGAGGGGGACGTCCCTGTGCCCACTGCGCTTCTCGGCCGGGATCGCGATGGACGGGTCCCCTCGCGCCCCGGTCGGAAAAGAAACCCTTCAGCCGCATCCGTGTGGCCACCGAAAGCAGCGCTGTCAGGGCATCTCGGCCGCCCGTCGGCGTGGTGGACGTGAAAGGAAAGGAATATAGTGTGGAGGGGAATGGAAGCAAAGTGACGAGACATGTCTTTCCCACTCTACTGCCGTTTTTTTTTTCTTCCTCTTTTCTTTTTCTTGTTCTTTTTCCCCCCCTCACCCTTGGTGCTATGAGACACTACGTTGGGCTGTGAGCCACCCGCACAAAATAGGAGATTGATGGTCCTCACTTGGCGGATGAGGCGCGTGAGACACTCTCAAGGGTACAAGGAGAAATAGTGCCTCCCCCCATTTTCCTTGCATTTGAGGCACGACTCTTGGGGGTTCCCGCTTTCGTTGGTGACGAAAGACCCTAGATCGAAGGATCAAAGAAGAGAATGAAAGACAAGGCGGCGAGGGCTCGATATTGTGCGATGCGTCGTGTGGAAATGCTCCCTGTATGGAGTGGGAAAACCAAGAGGCAATAATGGCTTATAGACGACGCCGTTTGGCTCTGCTCCTTGACCCGCGCCGGATCGATGGGATCTCACAATGTGTTCTTCCGCGGAGCTTGCTCATCGGCAGTTGCGGCGGGCGAGGATGGTTTTGCCTTGTTGCTTGACGATCTACAAATGCCAAAGTGACAGAATGAATACATTTCCGTCCCGTCCACGGAACCCGTTCACGGCCATTGAGTCTCTCTCTCGTCTTTGGCCGACCATTCGAGCCCGGCCCTTCGTCCGCATATCAATTCATGCTTCCTATAACCCTCAATGATTAACACCATCTTAGAAGGTCCACCGCCAGGCCGTCCCTGTCTGGGTAGACCCTTCCTCCGGGCCACCGGACCGGAGCCGGGCAGGTGGGGATGTGGGGTCCTGACGCTCGCTACTAGGCGTCGAGAAATAAACAGTAACAATTGCCTCGGAGCCACACTTCGCTTTCCGTCGGCTTTTTTTGACTTGGGTCGCCTCGGAATGGCTCGAGCTAAGAGGGCCGAGGCCGGTCAGCGAGGTGGATATCGCCCTTCTCTGGCGGGGAAGGGGGACGAGGGAAGGGACCATAGGCGCGGTGAGGCATGGATCCACCCTCGAGCAGCGGTCCGTCACCGCTCCGTCTGCAAGAGCTATATCGGAGCGGGCCTGTGTGTGTGTGTGTGTGTGTGTGTGTGTGTGTGTAAAAGAGTGAGGTGACTGCGCGACAGAAGCCGTCCCGCCGCTGGTTTGGACGATGCGGAAGTGGGACACGTCGGCCGTCGTGGTTCCTCCGTTCGTCCGCCTGTTCTGAAGATGAGGTTGGGGTGGTCAGTGGCTCTCGGTTGGCATAATGCCGCCCTCGGTTGTCTTTCGTGTCGCAAATTGTGATGGCGTAGCCATTCGGTCAACTGGAGGTTTGCAGCATCGCGCATAAATCGAGATTCTTCAATGCAGGACTGTCGACCTGCTCACACCGGCCAGCCACGTGGCCTAGGGAAGGCTTTGCTGTTGTCCAGCATCGCGCGGTCTACAGATATCTTCAGGAAAACCGCTCCAGTGTTTCGATATAGACCGTCGTAAGGCCTTCATCGCTTATTCTCAGTCCATATTTGACAATGCTGAACAAGATAGATCACGGAACCATGCTTATAGACTCCAGACTTTTATGGAGACGATGAATGCAACGCTACCGCAGTTCATACAAACCATGCCCAAAAAGATCCAATTACTTTCGTAGGTCCAGTCCATATCTTCGAGCTCTGCTAACCTCTCTACTCGGCCGCTGTGGATGCTGTCTCCTTCCTGCCTCACCCGTCCGCCATGGCTTATTGGACCTCGGTATTCTTGAAGCGTTGCGACAGGGGAACTCGCGAAAGGCAATTGGCGAATCTGATGGACCCGGTACGATTGTCTCGAAGATAAACCTGGGAGCAGAGAAATCAACACGTCGTCTGGCACGGCTCGCCTTTCTCACATGCAGCGTCTCCTATAGACGTGCTGCAAGGGAACTCGTCGATGGCCTAGAGGTTGTGGGGTCGTGGATTTCAGCGGCAGTTGGCGCTCATATTCGATATCGCCGAGGGTATTACGATGCAACGCGTCGGAAGGCTGGATGAGCAACCTGATACCGTCCTGGTCCGCTCCCGCAACATCGGGAAAGGTTCTCGCCACTGCCTCCTGCTTCACTGCCTTGAATAACGTCAAGAACGAAGCGCCGCGCCTTGTGCTCGTTTACAGAGCTGTAGGTCTTAAAACTACTGAGACGGTCGAGGTGGAGCAGGTACGGAGTCGCCCAGTGCTTCATCCCACCAAGCGATGTGCGCTATAGGGCGTCGAATTCCTCGGTACGTGATACCATGTCAGTCAAGCCACAGACCCAGTATCAAGGAAGGAGGGTTCCTCGCGTAACCCCGCGATCCTTGGGATTACCTAGTAGTACCCGAGCACTCCCGCCGTAAGAAGCTGTCGTAAAGTTTATACATGTCTCGCATGGCGACCCTGTCTTTGTTTTCTGTTTGATGGATGTGTGGTAGCCCGGTGCAATTCACGGGTAATTGGAGAGAGGCTCTCCTTAGGGCTAGACGCGATGACTCGGAGAAATGGATGCGTAAAGGTTGTGCTGGTCCGTTGTCGACCCTCTGTACGCGAATCACTTGATCCATGTCCAACTCAGGTCTTGGTCACCCCTTCGCCGCAACTGGTTAACAAGTAGGAATCAACAAGGCAGCTGACCCGTCTCATTGCGTGGCCCGGGTATCGTCGAAGCAAATACACAAGGTTGCGGAACCGCATGGTTTGATGGGTGGATCTGGTTGATGTGGTTCAAATATGGCTTCTGCCTTTCTTGGCTGGCTTCATCGGATCTTTAGTGCAATCCTTCTGGAGGTCCTTCTCATCTCAAGAACGAACCGATCTACTCATGCAGATGGCACTTGTATCAACCAAACCGTTGGACATATACCATGCCCTCGGACGAGCTTCATTGTGCCTCACTCAGTGCAGTGTTTGCTACTGCTGGGGTTGCTGGCAACGGAACTGCTGGTGTACCGGCTCCATGGTGTGCATTCGAGAATTCTCTTTCGTGCTTCAACCCGTTGGGTCCCCGCCCCGTTGCTTCATCGGTCAGCTCCTAAAACTGCTGTCGGGTTTCCATGTTGTTTTAGGTTGTGCAAAGTGACATCTTGGTGATCGATGTACTCGCCAATCAAGCTCAATGCCAAACAACCGGCTTGCTGACTGTCGGTCCCTACTACTGCTTTACCTACTCGATGCTATTTAAGTTGCTGCCTAACTTTTCATTTGGCATTTCGATCGACTAGGAAGAGAGGGCTCGCTTACTCACCCAAAGGAATAAAAGTAAAAAAATGCATCTGTGTGTGGTAGTCGAAAGAATTATCAATAATCGACACCGACAAAAAAGAAAATTGCTATGACCGTGGCAGGGCTCGAACCTGCGACCTTCTCGGGATCAAGTGCACATACTTGTGAACGAGAAATCATAATCCACTAGAACACACAGCCGGATTGTGAAAAACTTGATTTGTATTTGACAATAAGGACCTCTATCGCGTGAGCTGTCAGAGACCCCACACCCTTGTTGCCGATTCCACGACACGCATCTAGCTGTGGCTTGGACTAGTTTGAGCAACTGGGATCTGTACAGAAGTCTGAAAGAGCAATCAAAATGCTGTCTATGAGACGGACAAACCGACGACAGCTGCAGAAACACACTGTCACCTCCTTCGTTTTCCTGAAAACTCAATGATCAATTTCAATTGGGAAGATTAGAAGCTCTGGTTCCTTGGGGTTTGGATTTGGCTGGGTTGGGTCAATGTGAGTTTTGGCTTGGTCGAAGTCAACACCTAACACCAACCCCAAATATGGCCCGGCGATGACACACCAGAAAACATATCGTGGAGGTTTCAGGCCCTCAAAGCCACTCAAATACGAAGCCAAATACCTTGAGGCCTATCGAATTTTGTTCAAAAAGACTGAAACAGAGTTGCAAAAGCCGCATTAGGAGCTCACGAAGCCGGCGTGGCAGCCCACCATAGTTAAGCAGGTACCGAAATCGCAACCCCACCATCCACACAAAATTGTACAGGAGGGGTTCATCAGCAGTGACGCACCTGGATCTATCTCATTTTGAGGGAACTTCTTCACCCAACAGGAACAGACCAGCACACTCGCACACCGAATATGACACGATTTCGCCCTTGTATAGACCTGCACGCCGGGCAGGTGAAGCAGATCGTCGGCGGCACGCTCGACAGCACGACGGCGGAGCTCAAGACCAACTTTGTCTCGACACACCCACCGGCGCACTTTGCGCGGCTCTACAGGGACAACGGCCTCGCCGGGGCCCATGTCATCATGCTGGGTCCCGGAAACACGGAGGCGGCCGGGGAATCGCTCAAGGCGTGGCCGGGCGGGCTGCAGGTCGGGGGAGGCATCAACGACGAGAACGCGAGGGAGTGGATCGAGGCCGGGGCCGAGAAGGTCATCATCACGTCGTACCTGTTCCCGGACGGGCGGTTCAGCCAGGAGCGGCTGGACGCGGTGCTCCAGGCGCTGGGCGGCGACCGGAACAAGCTCGTCATCGACCTCAGCTGCCGGCGGCGCGGGGACGACAGGTGGTTCGTGGCCATGAACAAGTGGCAGACCATCACGGACATGGAGGTCAATCAAGGTTCGTTCTACTGATGCCACGTGGATACACGGGGTTGTTCAAGGGAGGCATGGGAGTGAGTGCATGTCAATGGGTGGCTGACGAGAGTCTGATTATTTTGTCGCGGGCAGAGTCGATCAAGCTGCTGGAACCCTATTGCTCAGAGTTTCTCATTCACGCAGCGGACAACGAGGGCCTTCAGAAGGGCATCGACGAGAAGCTCGTCGAGAGGCTGGCCGAGTGGTGCAACCTGCCGGTCACGTATGCGGGCGGCGGCCGGAACTTGGAGGACCTGGACACAGTGAAGAAGCTCAGCAAGGGCAAGGTGGACCTGACGATCGGGAGCGCGCTGGACTGTTTCGGTGGCAAAGGCGTGAAGCTCGAGGAGTGCGTCGCGTGGAACCGGGCTCAGCAGTAAAGGGGAAGATTTCAAAGCGGGACGGTGGGATCTGTACATAGTAGACTAGACGGATCGCATCGGTGAACAAGTCACACACACACACACACACACACACACACACACAAGAAGAAAAAGCTTTCGTGATGGACTGGACTCGTGTTGGGTTGGCATGACAGGCGTCACATCTGACGATAGCCGTGCGACCCAGGCTTGGTAGAAGGATGCTGATGCCGTTCCGGCGCGGTGCGACGAAGTAGTAACGGGGTGCCGCGCTAGAAGATGCGTAGATGAAAGAAATAGACATGCTAATACGAAGCTGGCTGCAAAATACACTGTCGGCGCAGGTTCCTAGCTCCTTTAGCGTCCCGTTTAACTTTCTTATGTTGGGCGTGGCGCTACGATGGGCGGCCGGGCTTTCTGCGAGATACTTACCACTTACGTACACATGTACGTACATCCATTGACCGTATTTGGGAGACATGCCTTGCACGATGGTGTGCGTCGGATCGGGAATCCGCCAGGGCAGTTGTTGTATTTACCCCTCTCTCTCTCGGGGCTGAAGAGGGGCGAGGGGCGCTCTATCAGGTCTGTTTGGGCCATCTGGTGCTCCTGGCTTCGCGGAGACAAGGGAGGGTCGGGTCGGGGGAGGAGAAGGCTGCAATCCTTGACAGAAGCACCCACCGGGTCGGTTAATCCATCGTGGCGGTGGCCGATTTTCTCTTGTCTGGAAAATGAGTTTGCGCCGCCGGGGGGGGGGGGGGGTCGAGGACGAGAGATAGCGCAGGCGCTAGGAGCAAAGTCCGCGCGGCGACTAGTCCTGCGACGGGGTTGCTTTATACACGGGGAAGTCGACTCGGCATGCATGGGATTCAGGAAACAAACAAAAACAACAACGAGGGTTAGCAGTCGAAGCGAGAGGGGAAAGGGGGAGGAGCCAGGCTAATGCAGTCAACAAGAAACCGCGAGCATGTGCTGGGGAGATGGGATGGATGGGTGCATAGGACAGCGAGCAGCCAGCCAGCCACTGACAACGAAGAGTCGTGTTTTTTCGAGCCACACAGACAAGATAATACGAAGAAACCCCAACGCCGAGAGGGTGAGGCTCCCCTCGATCGCACGGAGAGAGAGCGAGCGACATGGCGATAACAACAACACATACCCTGGTAAAGCACGGGCAGAGTGAAGAGAGCGAGCGAGAGGAACGGGGGCATGACATGTAAAGCAACAATGAGCTCCATCGTCTCCCGTCACCATCACCAAGCATCCCAGCACTCGGGCTAAAAAGGTACAACACTATGTAAAAAGGACGTCAGGAACCCACCAACCAGGCCCCATCGGAAGCGATGTGCGCAATACGTGTACGACGATGCGACGGAGACAAGCACGACATGCGGGAGCCAAAAGTGTCCAGGTCCAGGTTCAGATCCAGGACAAGGCTGGCGGGTCTAGGCCGGCAGAGTGATTGATTGATCACGATGACTTGGCCTTGACTGCATGAGACGGCAATAACCCATGTATCCTAGCTCCTGTTGGCCCGGCGAATTATCATGCTTCGACCACAACAACAACGGGGGTTAAGCGTGATGCTTAGATGGTTACGGAAAAGACTGGACCCGCCTCTCGCGTTGTTGAATCAAGTTGATGCTGATGCAAAATGCCACTTTTCTTTTTTCTTTTCCCGTCGTATCCCCTGCCGCTGCCTCGGATACTTGCTTTTGGCCTGCTTTCTTCCATCTCTCTCTCTCTCTCCTTCTCCTTCTCCCTGCAGGCGCTGAGTGAACTGATACTCGAGGGAGAGAAATGTGTCAATGTCAATCTGTTGTCGCGACGCTTAGGCTGCCTAGGTAGGTAGTAGTATAAGGTACCTAGGTACGTAGGTAGGTAGGTAGGCACTGTGGTAACTCGCTAAAGGAAGGCATGGATTATGGATTGTTGCACCATGAAAACCGCTGAGGAGAGAAGCGTCACAGAAAGAGTGGGCACGTGCAGCAACTCAACCGTCGTCGTCTTCCACTCTCCCCAGTGGTCCGCTGCCAAACCCCCTCGTCCCAAGCCTCTCGTCTCCCCCCTGTCAGCCTAGAGTCGCACTAAACAACAAGGTCGCTAGGAGCAACGCCACCGACAAAGAGCTGCCTTCCTTGTTTGTTTACTTCTCTGCGCGCACCAATCATCGCCACCTCAACCTCAACCCATACCGCCTCGTTGCCCTTAAACAACACCCGACCACATCGACGCATCTGAACGCTCGTCGTCTTGTTCACCCTCTTGTTGTTTCTTAACCCACGACGGACGTCAGGAACGCTACCAGTTATTGCTGCCTGCATTTTACGCGGCGTCGCCCTTTTTGATTGATTTTTTTTTCTATCCTCGTGTGTGCTTACTGCTTGTCGTTTTGCGCCGCCCCCGCCTTCCTCACCTCCGGCAGCAAGCATCTCCATCTCGCTTCTGTCACATTCCAGTCCACCATATCTCGACCGTCTGTTCCTCGGATTATGACCAAAACCGCCATCTGACTGCACAAGGCGACAGATCCCAGAAAAGTCAAATCATACATTCTAGTAGACACTCGAGACGCCTTCTCTCCTTTGTATCTTGCAGAATCCAGGCCCGGGAAACATTGCCGCTACTACCTACCTACCTACCTACCTACCTACCCCCGGAAACACCGCAGCAGAGCCTGCTCTCTACCTTGCATTCTTCTTAAGAGTACTGGTTGTCACCACCCTCTGCGACGCTTCTTGCACCCCCCAGATGCGCTTGCGCATTCACCAAAACACCACACAAAATGGCTTCTTCTGAGGAACCTGTAAGTTTCCTACCCATCTCACTGCCTGGCATCCTCGCGCGCGCGATTCCTGTCGATTAACATCCACACCCTCTCCTCAGGTGCACCCGCTGCGCATCTCCAAAGGCAGCAGCAATCCGGGATCTCCCCCTACTGCCAAAGCAAATACGGGCATCCCTCGCCCGCTGTCAGAGCTTTCTCCTTCAGACCACAGGAGGAACTCGCCCAGCTGGAAGCAGCCGTCCAAGGTGAGCCGAGAGTGTCTCAGGCTGTGCCTGTGTAGCATTTCGTCTAACGACCCGCCTTGCAGAAAATGACTCTCAACACCGACTCATCTCCATTCCAGTCCTCCCCGCTGGAGACCACCACCTCGCCTAGGCTCTTCTGGCAGAAGCGCAACCTTGACTCCATCAGCACGGAGAACGCCGGCTTGTACGGCGGCCGCCACGGCTCGCCTTCGCCAACGCGCCGCACCTCCATCGAGCGCCTACAGAAAGCTTCGCGCGTCAAGAACAGCAACATCCTCGCCCTTGAGCAGAAGCAGGAATACGACCCTACCAGACTACCTCAGGTTGAGCGCCCTCTAGCTAAGCATCAGGGGAGCTCCTTTGACGGCACGACGACCATCATCAACGGCCTCCGGTCCTCCGATTCTCTCAGCAGGGGCGTCGGCCACCAGCGCAACAACAGCAAATCGAGTATCCCCATCTACAACCCCGCCGCGAGCCCCACAAAGCCCTCCACGCCAACGCAGGCTGGCCCGTCCAACCCGCCCCGCAGCCCAGGCAAGGACCAAGCGTCCCCGATGAAGTCTTCCCTCTCGAGAAGCCACTTCAAGAGCAGCTTCGACCACGAGACCGGCACTTGGTCGGACGACACCTCGTTCGACGACCGCGAACTTCCGTCGGGCAAGTCGCTGCATCGACACGCCAAGAGCGTCACCTTCGATGCTGCCCCCCCTCAGATCAACGAGTATGAGATGGCTACACCCGACATCTCCTCCATCGGGTCCAATTCGCGCGAGGGCAGCTTCGATTCGATGGACGATGAGGACGATGAGGATGGCCACTACCACTTCGGTGACCACGACATCGAGGGTGACAGCTTCGACGCCTCCCTCGAAGACACGGACAAGACGCCGGTTGTCGGTCCCGACGACTGGAGGCAATCCGCCGAGCGTGTGGAGGAGGACCCGTTTGATGGTAGCCCGATGCCCGACACCCTTCCGCGTCTCGGTCGCACAGAGCACAAGCGATCTGACTCCTCCACCTCGGACCACCGCCCCCTGCCCCCTCTTCCCGGCATGGGCTCGCCTGCCCGCAGCGACTCCCGCTCCTCACCGGGCCTGTCTGCCACCGCCGAGAGGATGCTGAGTGCCCATCGCAGCCTGCCTTCGCCTCCGCCGGCGACCGCGAGCAAGTCCGAGATCCAGAGCATCGGCAACGGCAAGATGACCCTCGAAGAGAGACTCAAGCTTATGATGCTCTCAGACGACCACAAATCTGCCAACGAGCAGCAACGAGAGCGCCGCCTTCGTCGGGGTGCCACGCGTGATAGGATCCAGAGCCCCGCTTCGGACACCGAGACAGCTGAGTCCAGCATGCTCTCCCTCGATGCCGATGAGGCCGATGAGGCCGATGACACCATCGGCGACATCTCTGCTCTCGAGAACTATGAGCTGCCCTCTCGCATCTCGCGCGAGTCCATCATGCGCCGCGTCAACGGCGGCAATAGCGACCAGGGTGGCGACTACTTCTCGTCGCCAGCGCCCAGCTCAAGCCCCGAGCGGCCCAGCCCCGAGCATCGTCTTGATTTGCCACTAGATCCCGATGTCCCCATCCCATCGACGGAGGAAGACTCGATTCTCGATGACATATCTGAGCTGAGCGACGAGGGTAGTGTCATCATTCACCGCGATGAGCCCTCGGATGTCGAGACCGAGTCCATCACACACTTCTACGCCCGGTCTGACGTTGATGATAACGACACGGATTCTGCCAGCCACTACTCAGACGGCCCAGCTCGTGTTCCCGAGGTCACTCAGGTTGGGGATGATATCCTCACTCCTCGTGCCGCAAAGTCATTCGGCATGGCCTCCGAGGTAAGACCTCTGGAGCTCAAGTCTGACAGGGCCGGCAACATGTCCGACCAGCAGGTCGACGTCGCTGCCGAGGCTTCAGCCAATGAGCCGACGCCCGAGGCCGAGATGACGCAGGTTTTCGAGCCTGAGGTCGAGACCCAGCCTGAGGCTGGGGCCCAACTTGAGGCAGAGAAGGAGCCATCACCAGAAGCCCAAGCTGCCGCGCCCGTCGATGCTCCAGCAGAGCGCGAGCACAGCCTTCCAGAGATGAAGAATGAGGGCAAGGACAACGAGTTCTCCAGGGGTCTGCAGTCGTTCATGCTGGCGCCGCCCCCAGAGCCCTCGGCCAAGGAGCTCGAAGACCTCCAGCCGCCGCCCAAGATGACGGACCTCCAGGCTCAGACGCAGCGGCCCTCGACCCCCAAGCAGTTCCAGCTTTCCAAGCCCGACTACGACGGCTCTGGATGGGGTGACCCGGAGGATGAGTATGAGGAGGAGCCCGGTACGCCCGAGTCCGTCATCCATCGTCCCATGTCCTCCGACGAGGAAGAGGAGGAGTCGGAGATCTTTGATGAGCCTCCTCTGGAATCTCCTGCGATCCCCGAGCGACAGGCAACCATCAAGGCCTCGGGCTCGAAGCTGAAGACCAGACCATCCAACACGCCTTCTGACATAATTGCCATGAGGGAAGCACGGCGCCAAGTTAGTCGCGAGGTGCCCGACATCCCAGTCATTCCGGAACGCCACCGCAACAGGCTGTCGAGGGACCTGCAGGAAGAGCCCGGTATTGATGAGGACTTCGTCATGAAACGCCACTCGAGCTTTGCCAAACGCAGTCTGACGTTGGATCTCGACTTTGGCCTGAGTCTTGATCAGGATTTCGACCGGGTTATCGAGGCACAAAAGGTTGCTTTTTCTCATCAAGTCCATAATTCGTCTCATTTCGCGAGTGGAGGCCCTAGCAGACAAGCGTCCAGGCCAGCCGCAACCACGAGCAAACTCAATTCAGTAGAAGAAAAGTTACAGAATGCTAACAAGAAGAATCAGCGCGGTTACCTCATGCGACAAAACACAAAGGTCGTCACGGCCAGCGACAAGGAATCTTCCGACATGTGGAAGAGCCGATCAGCCGGCAACTCCCCAGTCAAGACGGATCGCCCCCAGTCGTGGACCGTCGAGCCCTGGAACGGCAGGCCCAGACAGAAGAGCATTAGGCGGCGTCCCCAGACCAGCGGGCCAGTTCCGCCCATGCCTGGTCAGGAGAGCAACGCGCAAGCTCTCAATCCCTTGACCGAGGAGGACCTGAACCCCGAGCTGGCCACCGAGGAGAGCGGCGAGCGCGGCCGTCTCTTCGTCAAGGTTCTCGGTGTCAAGGATCTCGATCTTCCCATTCCCAGAAGTATGCCCTCCCCTTTCTCCCCCCCTTCCAGCCCTTGAGATGACTGACCCCTTCCAGCGGAGCGCACCTGGTTCAGCCTTACTCTTGACAACGGTGTACATTGTGTCACGACCGCCTGGCTCGAGCTTGCGCGCAACGCCCCCGTGGGCCAGGAATTCGAGCTTGTTGTGCCGAACGAGTTGGAATTTCAGCTTACCCTCAACGTCAAGCTGGAGAAACCGCCGCCAAAGAAGGTCACCGTGCACTCTCCTACCAAGGCTATCAAGCCCAAGACGTCCACCTTTAGCAGGGTGTTTGCGTCGCCCAAGAAGCGCAAGGAGATGGAGATGCGCCAGCGTGAAGAGGAGGAGCGCCTAGCGGCTGAGCAGCAGAAGGCGGCCCAGGCCAGACAGGTAAAAGTTGCACCCACCGCCTGGGATCTGTTGTCCCCGCTCGCTGCCGAGGACGGCAGCTTCGCTCGTTCCTACGTATGCCTCAAGGAGCACGAATCTCGCTGCTACGGCCGTCCGTACGTTGTGGACGTGGCCTGCTTCAACGAGTGGGCGACTGAGGAGGCTGCGTTCGCGTCCAGCGTCAAGAGCAAGCGCGGCAACACCGCTGTTGTACGCCGTGCTCCGTACAAGATCGGCAAGTTGGAGCTCCAGTTGCTGTTCGTGCCCCGTCCCAAGGGATCCACCGAGGAGGACATGCCCAAGAGCATGAATTCTTGCATCCGGGAACTCAAGGCTGCCGAGGAGCGCCTTGCGAAGAACTGGGAGGGTCACCTGAGCCAGCAGGGCGGCGATTGCCCGGTAAGTAACCCCGTGACGCCTAGCCTAACCTGATCATGCGCTGATTCGATTCCAGTACTGGCGTCGTCGTTACTTCAAACTTGTCGGCCACAAGCTCACTGCCTACCACGAGGCCACCCGTCAACCCCGTGCCACGATCAACCTGGCCAATGCCAAGCGTCTCATCGACGACCGGCGCGCTCTCACGGAGAAGGAGACCACGGGCAAGGGCGGCAGGCGTCGGAGATCGGCCTTTGCCGAAGAGGAAGAAGGCTACATGTTCGTCGAGGAGGGCTTCCGCATCCGCTTCAACAACGGCGAGACCATCGACTTCTACGCCGATACTGCCGAAGACAAGGCCGGCTGGCTGGCGGCCCTGACGGACCTCGTCGGTCGTGGCGACAGCGACGACGAGGCCGGCGGGCCTCGCAAGCAGGGCAAGTGGTGCGAGCTCGTCCTCAAGAGGGAGGAGGCGCTACGACGTCGGGCGGAGGGCCGGCGGGTGCACTCGCGGACGAAGAGTACTTTCAACTAATACCCCTTCTTTTCTTCATGATTTGGCATGACCGCGTACGATTAGGCGACACGAAGAAACAAGAGGGCACGGCATGATCTATGATTCCCTTGGACCTGGAGTTCGTGATCGGATGATCATGTGTCTTTGGTCCGCCCTTAAGATGGCTTGTGTCTGCTGGATGCGCCCTTGCCTCGACATTTAATACTTTGGCAGGCAGATGGCGTTCCGGCATGGATTTGGATGGCGATGGAGGAAGTTCCCAGAGACTGCGTGAGAGCTTGTATGGTTTAGATTCGCACTCGGACTCTTCTGAGCAATGTTCTCGGAGTCGGGTAGCCCGTTGGTTGTACGTAGCGTGTTATTGTAACAAAAATGGGAGGCTTTTTATCGCTAATATGCTGGGCTCCATGACGTGAGGGTATGTCGTCACACAACGGCGCAGTGAAGATGAAGACTGGCTTGCTTGCCAACTGCGCTGTGTTGGAGGAAACGCATGCATCACGTGCATCGTGACACGCATTGCATAAACTTGGCTGGATCCCCGGTCCATCGTTGTTCTCGCCGGTGGGTGGAGGGAAGCCACGGGGCGCAGCTGGCCGGGGGAGTTTCACCAATGTGTCTATCAGCCAGTAATGTATCCGTATAGCTGTACGGAGTATGAATTACCTATATGTGAGGTGGGTACGTACCCATGGGAGCAATTGATCGCTACCCGAATTGTATTGGACTGCGGGACCAGCAATAGAAGCAGCCGTACCCGCGAGCGGCAAGCACCCACCTCATTAGGTAGTTCGTTATTTGGGAGGGCCCGCCATCGACAGCTCCCAGCCCAGCTATTACACCGAGTCCTCCCCTTTTGGATCACCACAGGATCGCAGGTTGCGTCGTCACAGCATTGCATATCGTCGTCTGCATCTTTTTCTCCCCCTTTCGAACCCTCCTCCTCTTTCCCATCCCGCCACCCAGGTTCCCGAACATACTACATCATCCCTAATGGCGGGCCGCTTTGTGCGAGCGTCGAAATATCGTGGGTCTTTTTTTGTCGCAAGCCGCTGTGTTGCGCTGGGAGGGCCTGACTGCTGACGCCCAAATCCTTCTCGTCCAGGACACGTCTTTGGCAAGCCGACCCGCAAGGAGTTCTGCTACGATAACCTTCGCATTAGCCGGAATGCATGGGATACCAACTTGGTGAAGGTAATGGGTCTCCCTTTTGCTTTTGGCTTTCGTTTCCCCCCATGTTTGTTCCTGCTCTAAGACAATTGATGGGTCTATGCCGGAACACGGGTTCGAGAGAACGAGCTGACCAAAAACTCCTTACTTCTAGGCCAACCCCGACTACCTCTCGGTCAATTGGGAAGCCGGCGGCGGCGGCGCCTTTGCTGTCATCCCCCTTGGCGAGACGGGCAAGGTACCTGACCAAATCCCTCTGTTCCGAGGCCATACCGCCACCGTCCTTGATACCGACTGGTACGCCGATCCCAGCGACCGCCCGCGCGCGAAGCTCCCCCCCCCACACTCCTTACCCATCTACCGACCACGAGCGCACGCGACACAGATACTGACGGCCACGTGACAGGAACCCCTTCAACGACCGCGTCATCGCGTCTGGGTCCGAGGACGGAAAGGTCTTTATCTGGCAGGTTCCCGAGAACTTCACCCTCTACACCGATGCCGAGGAGCCTGCCGACGTCTCCCCTGTCGGCAAGCTCGCCGGCCATTCGAGGTTCGTCGACGCCGGCCACTCCCCTGTCCGCCTTCTGATATTCGACCACGAGACTGACAAGCGACGTACAGAAAGGTCGGCCAGGTCCAGTTCAACCCCGCCGCCGAGAACATCCTCGCGTCCGCATCCGGCGACTTCACGATCAAGCTCTGGGACATCAACAATGGCTCATCTACCCATACCCTGAAGCACAACGACATCGTGCAGAGTCTTTCATGGAACGCCAGCGGTTCGCTCCTGGTGACGACGTCCCGCGACAAGAAGATCCGCGTGTGGGATGTGCGCGCCGAGAAGCCCGTCCACGAGGCCCCAGGCCACCCGGGCGCCAAGAACAGCAGAGCCGTGTGGATGGGCGAGCACAATCGCTTCGCCACGGCCGGTTTCTCGCGCATGAGCGAGCGTCAGCTCGCTCTGTGGGAACCCGGTCGCAACGAGCCCATCGGAGGCTTCTCCATGCTGGACTCGATCTCGGGTGTCATTATGCCCTTCTGGGGTGGGTCTTCGTGGTTTACGTGACAGGGGCAGCCAAATGCTGACTTTAGGACAGACGAGGGATCCAACTGTTTGTATCTTGCTGGCAAGGGGTGAGTAACCCGGCAGCATCGGGTTGGTGCTTTGCTGACGGATCATGCAGTGACGGCAATATCCGCTACTACGAGTATGAAAACGACAAGTTCGAGTACCTGAGCGAGTACAAGTCCGCCGAGCCCCAAAGAGGCATTGCCTTCGTTCCGCGCCGCGGCATTAACGTAAGCTGGCATACGCAGGTGTTGCAGCAGGAGGTCAAGTCTAACATTGCTTAGGTGCACGAGAACGAGGTTATGAGAGCTTACAAGACGGTCAACGATACTTACATCGAGCCCATCTCCTTCACCGTCCCCCGTAGAGCCGAGACCTTCCAGTCCGATATTTTCCCCCCTGCTACTGGTCTCAAGCCGGCCGTCAGCGCTCAGGAGTGGCTGGGCGGCAAGGATGGCATCCCCACCAAGATTGACCTGGAGAGCGTGTACGAGGGCACTGCTCCCAAGGAGGTCGCCTCTGACTACAAGCCCCCTGTGATTGCCTCTGCTCCTGCGCCAGCTGCTAAGCCTGCGCCGAAGCCCGCCCCTGCTCCGGAGCCCACCCCGGTTGCCCGGTCACCGCCGCCCTCAATGAGGGATCAGCAGGTCTCCATGTCCAACATGGCGTCCAAGTTCAAGGACGACGAGCCTGCCGAGCCGGAAGATGATGACGACAACTCCAGTTTCGAAGAGGTACAGAGACCAGCCCAGCGTGCTGCTGTCCCTGCTGCCGCTGCCGCCCCTGCTCCTGCTCCTGCCCGTGTCGAGCCCGCCAACATCCCGTCCCCCATCAAAGCGCCGTCCCCCTCCCAAATCAAGTCGCCTCCCGCCCAACAGTCGCCTGTCAAGGCGTCGGCCAACTCACCTGCATCCTCAACGCACATCGAGTCGTCTCTGGACCAGATTAGACAGATGCTGGAGCAGCAGACGAAGCTGATCAGCAAGCAGAACGACAAGATTAGCCAGCTGTCAGGCGAAGTTGAGGGGCTGAAGCGCAAGGTGAACGCCGGTGGGTCTCAGGATCAGAGCGAGAGGATCAGGCAGCTGGAGCTGGAACTCGAAGCCGCGCGCTCTTGAAATGCTATTTTTTGCGGTGTGACTGATATGCGAAGGGGAGAGATGGGGGTTAGTGGGTATGCATGTGCATGTGTCAGTGAGGAGTGTGCGTCAGGGGTTGGAAAGATGTGATGAAAAGGGGTTTTGGGATGGATAGCAAGCAGTGTTTGTCACAAGCAGAGTTAGTTAGTTTGGTGTTACCCGCATTTTTGTTCTCTTCTGTCTGTCGAGTGCTTGTTGCATAGAGGGTACCTAGTGCATATGTACACAGGTATTGCGTGGTCTGAGATGGCCGTCACCCCTTTGTAGTGATTGGTCCTCGCCCTGAACCTGAGCTCTGACGGCCGTCCGGATGGCTGCCAGTTTCATCTAGTTCATTAGATGTGAGCTATTCTTGGGTTGTCGGTCGAAAGTGGTGCACGTCGCGAAACACGTCACATTGCGGAGGTCTCCTTTGATGTCTGGAATTGAGGGCGTGCGTGGCTTCTTTCATCCCACAAATGGGATATGCAGGAGTGAACTATGGGCAACGGAGAAGAGAAAGAGGGTAGGGTTTGAGGGGTTGTTCTGATGTTCGGGGTTTGATGTAAAGCATCCAGTGGGTGATATTTTTGGAGGAGCAGGAGGAGGGGGATGGAAAAGCTGTGGCTTGCCCCTCCGTATTATCCCACCAAGGCTGAGAGAGAGCTCTTGCACGGCCCCTTACCCCCCACCTCTCCTTTCTAGCAGCCACATTCAGGACGAGGCTGAGGAGAAGCAGTGGGGGAGACCCACTGAAATTTCTGGGAGGGTGAACAGACTGAGCTGCACGTACCGTAGGGGTTTTTTTTTTTTTTTTTTTTTTGCTTTCCTTCTCTGTTTTGCGACTGCATTTTACCCCGACACGACGCGACCGACTCGCCTTGCCAGCCACCAATCCGACGCCGCAGGCCTTGCACCGGACGACCCCCCTTTGCGTGTTTCGACACCGGCATCCTACACCCACTCCCCCAGCGACCGAGACAAGACCGTTTCGCGAGGCCGAAGACAGGGAAGCAATGGCCTCCGTCCTCGGGAAGCGCAAGGCGCCCTCCTCCTCTTCCGCCGCCTCCGTCAAGGTCTGCAAGCCCATCTCTACAAACGTCGCAAAGAAGGGTACTGGAACGCCGAAGATCACGGCGACACCGGCGCTGAAGAAGAAGAAGAACAAGAACAAGAGCCTCGAGGCCACAGAGAAAGCCGGCCCCGTAAAGAAGATCGCCGCGAAGGCGAAGAGGGTTAAGAAGAGGGAAGAGAAAGAGGACGAAGACGACGACGAAGAAGAAGAAGAAGAGGTGGACGAGTCCCTGCTCTCCGCGCAGGAGATCTTCCGGAGGCACTTTGAGGCGCAGTTCAAGCCCATCGAGGAACCGAAGCGGAAGAAGGCCAGGGCTGCCGGGGCCCGGGGCGAAGACGGCGATGAAGCCGCCTCGTCGGACGAGGAGGGCGAGGACATCTTTGAGGACGAGGGCGCCGACGGGCAGGAGGGAGAGGGAGAGGAGTGGAGCGGCCTTTCCGGCGAGGACGGTAAGCCGACACCTTTTCGTGCTCTTTGCTTGAGGGGATGGAAGCCCGGAGCTGGGCTCAAAGGAGAAGAAGAAGAAGAAGAAGAAGAAGAGAGCGTGCTGCTGACGGTCCACATTTTGGCAGAAGACAACAACGGATCTGACGAGGAAGAAGACTACGAGGACGACATTGAAGAGAACCCCGTAATCGAGGTTGTCGACCACACAAAGTCTAAACCCCAACCCGTCGCGAGCATGAGCAAGCGCGAGCTCAAAGCCTTCATGGTATGCGGCCACCCGCCCCCCCCCCCCCTCCTTTACTCTCGACAAACATACACATGCACACACATCCTAACCCGCTCCTCACAGTCCTCCAAACCCCCTCACAAACCGACCCTTCCCCCTCGGCCGTCGTCTCGTCCCCGGCGGACCCAGACGACGAGAATGACAAGTCGATGCTGGCCAACGACCTCGCCCTCCAGCGCCTCCTCTCCGAGTCACACCTCCTCGCCCGCCACACCGTCACCCCCTTCTCCAACCCCACGGCCGCCGCAAAGACCTTCTCCGAGGGCCGCCTCCGCCAGCGCCAGGCCGACCTGCGCACGCAGGCGCTCGCCCGCGGCGTCTCGGGCGTCGGCTCCGTCTTCACCCAGGACAAGATGCCCATGGCCATCCGCAAGGGCATCGTCGCCGCCGCCGCCGGCAGGGAGGCAAAGCGCCGCCGGCAGGCCCGCGAGAACGGCATCGTGCTCGAGAAAGAGGCCGGGCCGGCCCCCGGCAACAAGGCCGGGAAGAAGGCCGGTCGCGCCGAGAGGGGCGTTGACGGCCCCGCCGTGGGCCGCATGCGCGGCGCCGAGCTAAGGCTGAGCGAGAGAGACGTCCAGAGCATCGAAGGCGGCGGCAGTGGCAGGGGTGGGAGGGGTGGCCGCGGCGGCGGTAGAGGGGGACGGGGGAGGAGGTAGACCGGCTAACCGTTGGACCACAATATAACTCGCAAGAAGTCGAAATAGTCCAGTTTTCTTCTCCTTTTTCCCCTCGATCTTCTCTTTCCTTACCTATATTTAATGACAAACTGGTAGTGGGTGCCGAGTGTCGCCGACTGGATATATAGACGCGCAGGATGCCTTGCATACCAACCAATAACGATGAATGCATGAGCATGCATGAATACGACTGGCATAATCGAGACATGGCATTCGAACCCCACTGGGTATCATCAGAGGCATTGTTGCAGCAACACCAGCCTTCATACTTGCATCACCGGGAGTGAGCAGTCACTTCAAGTGGGCAATATAATGTGAACAACATGTATCAGCATTCAACTCTGCTTACTTGTGACATGCTCTGTCCAACACTCTTCAGAGTAGCCGAACAGTCTCTCCTTCCTGGTATCATCTGGCCTTCCAAGCAACTTTGCCTCTTCTCAAAGTATGCCCCTCCAGCGCAAAGGAAAAGAAACAAGTATATATACATGTGCGAGTCGTTTCTCTTCTTCGCATCTCGACCCTAAAAGCCCATGCATGAAATCTCCCTTTTTCGGCGGGGTGCAAACGCGCGGCGAGATCTTCCCAGTCTCTCCGTGCGCCATCTCTATGTGTGCGAGTTTCCTTTTTCTGTCTGGAACCAACGGCCAGACTCGATGCTGAACACACGAAACTGAAAATGAGATAAATAAAAAAATCGTCCGGAGCCAAAGGAGCAATAGCCCAATCGCTAACTCGTGCCGAAATCCATGTCTGGAAATGGATGAAAATGGAGAAAAAAAAGAAGAAAGAAAAAGAAGTTCCAGTCCCATTCCGAAACCGTTATCATAGCCATGCCGCCCTCTAAGTAACACCGTGTCGAAGGAACGTAACTCCAGTCGTAGGAGAGCTTTAGCTCATAAGATACCGTCTCACATAATGGCGCTCGCGTTCACAGCCGGTTGGCTAATGGTCATCGGCATGCTGAGCGTCTGCAAGCTGTTGAACGACTGGGCCATGCCGTTGGACGTCGGCGGCGTCGAGCCGTTGGGGACACCGTTGAGCGAGGCGGTCACGTAAGCGTTCTCGGAGTTAGGCGAGGCCCCTCCGAGGGAACCAAGCTGGTCCTCACCGGAGTACTCCTCCTCCTCTTCGCCGGAGAAGTTAAGAGTAGCCTCGCCGTTCTCGCCACGGTCATGAGTACGCTTGTGTCTGTAAGAAAAACATCCGAGTCAGTCCATGTTGCTGTGAGAAGAGGATTGCTTCCCCCCAAATTTAGCGGCTGCGTAATGATGGTGGTAGTGCTGTGACGCGGCGGTTTGGACGTTGGTGATCATCGCTCGGGGTCTCTCATTCGCTCCACATTACAATCTTCTTGACAAAGGAAATGACAAAGGAAATGAGATGAAGGAAAATTGGGGCATACTGTGCTAGGTTGTCTGATCTGGAGAATGCCTTGCTACAATAAGGGCAGATGTAGGGTCTTTCTTGTGTATGTGTTCTCACGTGTCTGGAGGTTTGGTCAGATTTCAGGCAGGTCGTTTTGGTTGTTGACAAATGAAATGTTAGATCTGAATCTTACCGCTTGAGGTGCTCGAGACGCTTAAAGAGGCGGCCACACGTGGGGATGGGGCAGGAGTGGGACTTTTGGGGGTAGGGTCCAAGTTCCATGACAGTCGCGGAGCGGGCTCTACGAACGACACCGTTGGGGCCCTGCATACCAGGACGCGGAACACCGTTCATAGAACCATCACCGGACATGTCATCGTGTTGGAGGTGGTAGTCTTGCTGCTGGAGGGACATGGGGTTGAGAGCGGGGCTGCCCTCGACAGTGGACAGCGGAGTGCCGTGCCGGGACAGGTCCAGCATCTCCTTGTGCTGCTGGCTTACCATGGACATGGCGGAGCTACTGTAGGCAAGGCCGGGTGGGGAGTTGTCCGCAGACTCGTCGCCTTCAGCAACAGGACCGACTGATGCAGAGACCGACCGCCGGAGATCCGAGGGTCTGTGCTGCGCCTGTGCTTGAGCGGTGGCAGCGGCAATGGCCGACATTCCAGGCGGGATGGACGAACGACGTCTTCTCTGCTTGTAGGTGGGGGATCCTTCAATCACGGAGTAGACGTTGTTGGAACCGTACGCTCTGGAAAACTGAGGGCCGGCGAGGTTGGAGGGGGGGAGCTGGATCATGCCGTTGAGGCCGTTGACGTTGCCGCCCATGTGGTCGGGGATAGCCGTGTACAGACCGGTCTCCTCGTTGGCGATGTAGGCGGGCTCGGCGGCCATGCCCAGAGCCTGCTGGGGCGGCGTGATGGGTTCGAAGGAGATTCCCCGGTTGCTGTAGTCCTCGTACTGAGAAGAGACGAAGGACGGGGCAGGGGAGTACTCGAGGCCGTAGGCAGGCATCGAGGCGTGTCTCTGGTGACCCTGGGTGATGGGGACACCGTTCTGGTTGTACTGAACTCGGCTGTAGTCGGGCTCCCGCTTGACCATCTGCTGCGGGGGCATCTGGGGAGGCATGCCCATCGCCCCATATGGCACCATGGCGTCCATTCCGTCAGACATGGGCGCCACCGACTGGGGGATCATCTGGGGAGGCGGCATGTTGTCCATGGGACGCATAATGGGGGAGGTAGACTGGGACTGGGAAAATGTCACCTGCTGAGCGTTGAAGGAGGACGAGTTGGCCTGCTGGGCCTTGGTGAGCTGCTCGTAGAGAGACTGAGACGAGTCGTACTGGAACGAGAGAGCAGGCTCGCTGACAGCGACGGTGGTGGCTTCCTGACCCATCTTCTCGCGCTTCAGATCCCGCTCAAGGGCGTCGAGGAAGAGCCTGTCGTGGGGGACGCTGTACCAGTAAAAGACCTTCTGCTTCTTTTGTGTGCGAATGCAGTTGTTCTTGTAGAGGAAGTCGAGGAAGGGGCTCTTGGGCTCCTCGAGCGAAGCGTCGGTTCCCGACTTCAAGTTTCTCAGGTCGGAGAAGATGCCCTCCTCGAACTTTTTGGAGTTCTTGACTGGCCGGCCGAAAGCCTGGAATCTGAAAGAAAGGCACCTGACGATGTCGGTTCCGGAGATATGGAAGAGATTGTTCCAGAGAACGCAGGACACATATTCGCCTGTGGGGAGGAGGAATCTGCGAATGTACTGATCGGGTTGCCAGTCGACAGGCGCAGAGATGAGGAAGTATTTGACTGTGCAATTGCGTCAGCTTAGAGGCCCTCCAGGCGTTCTCGTACCGTCTGGGCACGACTTACGGTTGTCAACCTGTTGCAGAGCAACCTGAGCGTCGTGGGGCAACGCCTGCTGGGCTTCGGTGCTCAGCATGAAAGTCTCTGGTTTTTGGGGGGCCATGCCCGCGGCGGCATGTTGTGAATACATCCTGGCTAGTTGTGTGATCTAGGATGGAAATTGACGACGTGTGTCGGTCGCGTCTGACCGGATCGGAGAGAGGTTGCGCGCGTTGATCGACTCAGCGGGATCGCGCGGTGATTGAGAGTCAAAGAAAATTTGGATTATGCGAGACGAGGATCGCAAATGGTGGTAAGGCGCTGCCCTTTTTTTGATGAGCCCGGATGAGGGGGTCCGATGTTTCTTTTTGAGTGTTACTTTTTCAGATGTGAATTCGAGTCCAGCCCGGAGTAGATAAATGCTTTGTGAAGTTGGCACAATTGCTGACCAGCACGACCCAAGATCGACCTGTAGTGAATGGTGGACAATGTCCAACGCAGTTGGAAAACCGTCAAGGTGCTGCGAGGAGAGGTTTAATGGATTGTTTATCGGCGGCCTTTCGGTCTCAGGATAGAACCTCTAGGTCGAATGGATTAAGGGTCGTCGGAGGAGAACGAATACGTGCTTCAATGGCAAAAACAGGTGGCAAAAGCTCGACGAAGAACCCGCAGGAACAGATTGGCAACTAGACAAAAGCTTGGGTGGACGTTTGCTGGCGCGATGGGATTCGCGATGATGGGCAAGCGTGCGACAGGCAGTGTCTGATGTGTCGTTGGGAGGGGATGATTTGCCTCGGGGGTGGTCAGTCCTGATGAGATGAGAAAAGACACGGGGTGGGAGGTATGTGCGGCTCCGACGAGAGAAGGGGAAGAGGGAGTGGGAAGTGGAGAGGAAGAATAAAAAAAAGAGAGGATGGGAAGAAGAGAAGAGTCTTGTAAGAAGAGATATCAAGTGAGTTTAGGAAGGGGAGGATGGTCTGGGGGTTTAATGATTTTGGACGGGGTGGGAAAAGGGAGGAAGAGAGAGGGTCGGGTTCGCGGCGGGACAGGTTCAAGCAAGGACAAGCGAGCAGCGGTGCGCGGGTGTGGGTGCGGGTGCTGGTGCGATGGTGGGTGGTGGGTTGTGCCTTGGGTGGGAAGGGGAGGCGGAGAGTCGACTGACTATGTGGACGTACAGGAGTGGGAGTAAGATCAGCGGTAGCAGCGAGGTAGGTACACTACTAAGGTACGGTCGCAGCGCGCGTGGGCGTGTGCCGTGGCGGGAGTGAGAGCCAAAATATGGCAGCGGATGGGCGAGCGAGGGCACAGAGAACAAGTTGACCTGGAAGGGGGGGGGCTGTGACGGACTGACTGAGTGACTGGCGGACTAAGTGGATGATGGATGGACCACGGGCGGCGGGTTAGGGGGGGAGGAGGGCAAGGAAGGTACGAAGTAGGTAAATGGACGAGGGGGGAGGGTGTTTAAGAAAAGAAAAGCAAGGGGGGTGTGAGCGAAGGCGGGGACGACAAGGACCAGGAAGGGCGAGGAAGGCGAGAAAGGCAGTGTACCCTGCAGCTTGTACCTGACCTGGACCGAATTGGACTGGGCTGGCGGGGAAGGATACCTGGAAGAGAGATGGCGCCCATCCACACACACACGTCCACACGTTCACACGCAAGCCAGGTTAGGTCGGGTAAGGTGTAGTGTACCAAGTAGCGCGGGTGGTGGAGAACAAGAGAGCGAGAGAAAGAGAGAGCGGGCGAGTGAAAGTGGGCTAGTAGCAGAAACAGAACAGACGGAATCTGGTGGTGGGATGGAGACAGAGACCTGGACGGAGGGGCTTGGTTGGGATCGCAGAAATGGGCAATCTAGGATTGGGCCGTAGGTAGTAGTGTAGTGGTGGCCCAGGGGGGGTGTGGGTGTGATATTATATCGTAGCGGGTGTGAATGGAACGAGTGGACGGTATTGTGGGAGATGAGAGTTGGAGGGGCTAGGGGGAGAGAAGTGGAAAGTGAAAGATGTGGAACTAGAAAGAGAGTGCGCGAGCAAGAGACAGGACAAGACAGGACAGGACAGGACAGATACACACGGCCGGGGGGCGCACGCGGGTCCGGGAGACGCATTACTATAGCAAGAGCTTGCAAGGCAAAGGAAGGTACCTCCCATTATTACTTACCATTCAACGCGGAGAGGGACCACAACGAGAGCAATAAATACTACATACACAGAAGTATAATACCTATCTAGGTAGTGAGAGACAACAACGACAACGACAACGGGTCTGAGTTTAGTGGGCGACTGAGACTGAGACTGAGACTGAGACACAGAGAGAGAGCGAGAAAGAGAGAGAGAGCTGTCGTGGAGAGGAATGAGGTGCGGAGAGAGCGCTAGGAACTGAGCATGGTAGCGTTTAACTTTCCCTTGCCTTTATGGATAAGTTCGCTTCTTCTTCTCCTCCTTCTTCTTCTTCTTTTTTTTTTTACTTTTTTTTATTACGGAGTACGCGTCTGGTAATGGTGCCTAATTGTAGTGGTGGTAGTAGTGGTGGTAGTAGTGGTGGTGAGGTCCAATTGACGAACCAGGAGCCATCCGGCAATTCCTGTTTTTGTTTTTGTTTTTCGCCTTGCTCACTTTTGGACGTATGATGCACACGACCACGACAAATGCGATGTAGATTCCTGCATAGAAAAACCATCTCGCCCAAGAGGGGGTAGTTGCTTAATCGATATCTCTTAATTCTCGATTAGCGACGACGACGATGACGCCAAAGACGACAGCCAACCACCACCATCACACACACACACACACACACACACGCTGGCTGGGCAGGGAGGCTGCAACTTGCAGACCAGTACGGATAAGCAGGCCTAGGGCTCTCGGGCGCACGCGCGCGTGTGTGCGTGCGCGTGTGCGAGATGAATGAAAAATCGAAGGAATTGGTTGAAGCGTGGTTGTGGATGTGGACCAAGGTGGATTGCGGCCGCTTAGGCGGCGGATGCCGCCCGGTGTAAGAGCCAGTGAATCCAGCCTCTCTCTCCGCGATGAATAATGCGATAGTGCTGCTTGTTGCTGGCATTGTTCCTGGTGCCACCGCGGAACGGTACTTTGACATCGAGTTTACAAGTACCTAGGTAGGCTCTCCCCCCCCCCCCCCCCCCCCAACGGTGCCTTCCCCACCAGCCCCTGTGCCTGGCCCAGTCTCGCCTTCCTGCTTGATTGTGTTCCTGTTCTAGTGTGTGTGCAGTATAGCGTACTATGTAGTGTAGGTAGTATGCAGGGCATGCAGTACTGTCAGGGGGAGGAATCCAAGTAGAAGGGAAGCAGAGCACAGCACAAGGGGGGGGGGGAGGACTAGAAAAAGGCAACTGACTGACTGGTGACAGAAGGGAGGGACGACCGGGGAGGGGGCGACAGGAGGGTTCTAGGGCGTGCTGTGGATCGCCGATTGGCCGGACATGAACCCAGCCTGGAAGAGGCGGCAGAGCAAAGGCAAGAGCTTCGTTCGCTGCTTCCTTTTCCTGCCTTCCTTTTTTTTTTTTTCCTCGTCGTCAACCGTGCTGTGTGCGTGTATTGTGTGCGTGGTGTGTAGTGTGGATGTGTGTGTATAAACATGTCCACGTTTCTCTCCATCTCTTGTCAGAGAGTGTTTCCCAAGGCAAAAACCATGGTGCTCACTTGGCATCCTTCCTTAGTGACAGGTTCCAGAGAAGACTATTGACTAATGCCTTACCAAGAACAAAGTAATAAGAAAGCAAGGCGGTCCTCGCAGTCCAGCGTCGCCTTCGTGATAGGTTTTTCCTTACCGCACGGGGCACCTGGGCTGAAAGTGTAAAGACAGGAGGGGGGCAGAGTTGAGCAGAGTTGGACGGGCGGTACTCTCATTTCTGCCCTGCACGCAAGCCAGAGACATGTATCGCCCGGTCCCTAGCCAGCCACCCACCCACGCACACCCCTTTTCCTTCTTTCTAAGATCATGGATTGAGTTGAGTTGACCCAGGATGGGGTAATGCATTGCAGAATGGCGCCACAGCACAACACAGCAGGGAGGCAAGCAACGGGTGCTGTAACCTACAGCATGGCATAGAGCGCCGGATAACGGATAAGCAGTCCGGGCAACAGGCCAGGCTTGCCTGGTAGGCTGTGTTCTCTCTCTCACTCTCGCCCTCACTTTCTCTCTGCCCCAGAGGCAGAGGCAAAGGCAAAGGCAAAGGCAAAGGCAGAGGCAGAGGCAGAGGCAGAGGCAGAGCACCGCGACGCAGAGCCCAGAGCTCTCTCGATCGCTGACAGAGCGGACAGCGCAACACTGACCGGCTTTGGCAGCGACACTGACTGACACTGGCTCCCGCTCATACACAGCCCGCCCGCCGGTCCCTTGTCCGCGCCTGCGCTTCCATGCCCGGTTGTGGGAGACGAAGGAAGAGGGAAGGGGGGAGGGAGAGCGCTTTCGCGGACTCTGACCGCTGAGCCAAGTCAGTTAGACAGTCAGACTGTGTCTCTCGCATGGCCCCGCCTCACTGCGCTGCGGCGGACAGTGACTTCCACTCAATCGGGAACAGTCCCTGCGCTATGTTGCCCACCACAAGGCACTGTCATTGTTGTGGCCAACCTTGCTCTGCTCCTGTCAGGGCTTTCCCTCCCGAGAGGGGGTGCGGAACACGCGGACATTGTCCAACAGAGGGGGGGGGGTTATTTCCACCGCAGACGACCGCTCTTCCCTAGAGATGAAGGAGGAGGAGGACCACGACGACGAAGAAAGAAAGGGGGGATCGGAATAAGAAAGGCCCAGCCTCCCAAACGGTCGATTCGTTCTGGACCGGCGATGCGGCCATGACGGCATTGCTTTGGTTCCATGAGGGAACCGGTGGTGAGGGGGCATTTCCAAGCGATGAGCGACGGCGGCAATGCGCTTCTTTGTCTCACTCTCTTTTAATCTATCTGACAGAGCCTTGTCTTGGTCTTGCAGACTGTCTCCTCTTAGAAAAGAGACGACTCAAGAGTCATGTTCCCGGCCGTCTCCAGAATCGAGAAACGGCTTCTGAGTGCTTGAACAACTGGGCCTTCCAATACATCGCATTCCTGGCTCCACCACCCATCTTGGAATTAATATGCGCTTTGCCTTCAAGCCTCCCCCCTCGAGAGATGTCTACTAGTAGCAGCAGATCTAGTCCCCCCCCCCCCCCCCCCCCCCCCCCTCCCTCTCCCTCATCCATATCACCGACAGCCGCTACAAATCACCACCGCCCCATATGGCATACTAAACTATTCCCCCCCTCGTCCCTTAAAGTTGCCCAAGAGGTTAAAAAGACCGGCGCCGGACCCAATCTCGATAGTGCATGGGAATCTCATTTCCATCCCGGTGCAGATATGCCCATCACCGATTAAAGTGTGGGAAGACAAGAGGCACTTGCGCGTGCCAGTTAATTCCGGCATGGCATGTCATGCCTCTCTCTCATGACCCCCCTCCCCGATAGACCCAATACATACTCCGTATATACTCTTAGTAATGTACACAATCTGAGGAATCGTGCCATCGGGCGCCCGGCCGGGTCGCCATCAATTGGCTCCATCTGTCCAGTCCACACTAACATCCATCCACCCGTGCGCGGATGCGAAGAAAGGGGGTGTACCGATAAACTTCATCTTTTCTTCCTTCCTTTTTGCCAACAGGACGGAGCATGGATTTGCAATGCGAACGGGCTGCCGGGGGGTGGTGCCATTGCACGGAATCAAAAACGACTGGGGAGTGGGCAGGCAGGGGTGGGGATGGGAGGGGACGCAAAGTAGAGCGACGGAGTATTTTATTTTTGCTCGAGGAAGATCATCTCCCTTTTTGCCGGCGACGCGGTCGTCGTGCCTCTCTTTTTTTTTTTTTTTTCCTTTTTTTTTTTCCACTTGTCATTCTCCTCCTTCTTCCTCCATCACGGGCCAATCTTACGAGGACGCGCAGTGCGAACACAGCATAGCTTGTCTCCGTCTGGCCGCTTTGTTTCCCTTGGCTTCCGCCCTCCCCCTCCTGTTTAGTGTTTCGAGGACGTGATGCTCTCGATTTGCCGTCGCGATCCCGTTGTAGATGTTTGGCCACGGGGCGTCTGGCGGTTGATGAGACGTCCACTTGGTCGTCAGTCTCAGCGCGCTGATTGGGCGCGTCGCAGAGGGTGGGTTTCGGGCGTGCTGGCTCATGCCGCCGCAACCGTTGAGATGTCGGGACAAAAAGGAGGAAGGAAGGGAAGGGAAGGGAGACCTGGTGATGGTTGCACTGGCTGAGATTACCTGCCAGCGAACAATCGTACTACGTACTATTACGTGTAGGGGTCAACAACGAAGAGGGGGTGAAAGAGACCCAAGCGTGTGCGCTTCATATCTACCTAGTACCTACACTGCGGTCTCGTTCTTTTAGAACCATGCCCAGCAGCAGCAGCAGAAGACATGCCGGCTGCCGCCCTGCTGAGAGCTGCGAGCCCGTCGTCTGTGTGAGGCCCCTGTCATGGGTATCCCCGTATTATCTTATCGACAAGGTCCACGGTTCTAGCGTGTACCCTCCTTCTCTGTTCCTGACTTGGGAAGAGGGTTACACGGCACGCGACAAGGGTTAGAAAACAAAATCAAAAAAGATTTGGGAAATGTTCATATCTGCCTGTGCTAAGGGCAGCAGCAAATGTGGCCCCGGAGATACAGTTACATTGATTCTTCGCCCGCACCCCCCCCCCTCCCCCCAACCGCACCATGTACCGCCCGCCGGTCAGAACAAACCCCGCCTGCCTGATCACCACAGCCGGCCGGTTCTATTGAAGATTCCTGATGAATCTTTTGATTCATGATCCAAGAGCCCTTGCGGGTGGTCCAGGGCGGATCCCGTCCGGGTCGTATCTCTTTTGCCATCTTTGTTTGGCATGACGGCAAGCGTGTCTGTACAACGAATCTAGAATTTGTCGGGAGACACACGCAGGTCTTTCCTTAAACGCCCCGCGCGAATGTCAACGAGGGTTTTATCGTCGTAGGCTACGGAGGTCATCTGACAAGGAAGACAAGGAAGCTACGGCACTCTTTTTTTTTTTTTTTTTTTTTTTTTTACCCCTCCCTCTGGAGCGAAAAGGCTTACGATAGTAGTTTATGTAGAGGTCAAGGCGTTGACAAAACTCTGAGCGGTCGTCCTATCGGGATTTGATATGTCTATAAGCAGAACGGTAGTACGGCTTGGTAGCGAGACAAGTCATCGCATCTCGCGAACTCTCCCATTGTCTTCCGCGAACCGGGGCAAGCAAGGCCCTTGCAGCGGGGCCGTCCGACTCACATGTCGTCTTTTCAGAGCAAACCCCGGAGCCCTATGTTTCTGTCTTTGCGCGCTACATTTGTGTGTCCCAAACATGAGCCAGCATACCAAATAGGACAATGAGAAGCCAGGATGCGCGGGAGGGGGGGGGGAAGAAAACGAGGGAAAAAAAAGGTTTAGATGGGCTAGCCGCAAAGAGAACTGGCAACGTGCGCATGCTCCAGGATTGTCGTGCAGTGCAGGCAGGTCATCAGTAAGGGAGAGGAAATGTTGGGAAACGTCACCAATAATCTCCACATGCAATATCGCTTGCTTCGGAGGGCCCAGCTCTATGGCGACTTCGCTCGGGGGTGCGATGGGCTTCAATAGCTGGCACATCGCTGCCATTATCTTGTAATATTGCCTTCTCCTGAGCAGCTGCAGACGACTACGGATGAAAACGTCGTAGCGGCGGTGACAGACGACGACACTGACAACGACGACGGCGGCAACAACCGCGATGACGGCACACTGGTGAGATTTCGCTCGGTCCAAGCACCTCGTAGCTTGATGAGACAGGTCGGCCAACAGCTGTCGTTTGGGACATCAAGATGCAGCTCGGACGACGATGGCTGAATGCCACCGCCATGAGCTCCCAGCGAGGGTGACTTGCAGCAAGCAAGAGCGTTGAGGCTGCGGGGAGTGGGACAGGATAGGATAGCGCACCGCGCCCTCTTGCGACACCAGCCAGCAGCCATCGTCTCGCGGATCGCTCGTCGAAGCCTGTGCAGCAGTGTGGCTCCCTACTCAGGACCGGGTCGGATGTGCTCCCTTTCCTAACAAGCGTCGATTGCGCGACGACGGAGGGCGCTGAAGAAGTCCGGCCCGTCATCTCATTCCGAGGTTCGTGTTGTGCCCCTGGACGAATGCAGAGCGCAAGCTTCAATGTGACGCTGTTGCCATCAGCTGAGGGTCGAAATGCAGGTCCGAGGTTCCTGATGTCGGTGACAGCGTTCGCAGCGTGATAGATCGGCAGGTTAGCCCAGCCGAGGGCGGGGTGGGTGACCCAGCAGACCTGCCTGTTGCCTGCAGCTCTGCTCGGGCTGCCCGTAATCTCGTCGAGCCCCGCCCATCTTTGTCGAGTTGACGACGGCCGTTGAAGCGAGCCGTTGGCGGCATGTGCTAGGCTCGCTCCAGACATTCTGCATTCCTCATCAAGACCTTAATCTTCTGTACAGCCTTGTCGTCACGCGGAGCGGAGGCCGAAAACGTCCGTGTCTAAGCAGGCAGAGACAAAGGAAAGGGAGTGGCTTGACGGATCCAAGACAGTGGACGGCGCTACCCATGGGCGATGTAAGCCATCATCAGACTGCATTCAGGACGGCGCACCCTCCTCATCTCAGTCCATTCTCAGCCGGGTTTGGAGTACGGTATGAGAATTCCACAGCCACGTGAGGAGGACACTCTGAGCATGTGGGTAGAGCTCACAACGACCGCTGTTCCATGTGTGCGCTGTGCAGTTGTCGCTCGCTGGCCGATGCGTGCGTTCATTGTGCCTGGTATCGTGCGGCTTGGCCGAGTACAGGATGACTGAGAGGAATCCAAAAGAGCCACATCCAAGATCCAGGTCGGAAAGGAGAATGACGCCAAAAAAGAAGCCGGTGCCGCGACGCCAAGCCAATGCTCGATTGACTGTGCCTTCTGCACGAAATGGAATCCTTTTCCGGTGCTGCCTTGAGCCTTAGGCCAACAAAACTACACTTCATTCAATCCTCGGCAAAAGGGCAGTCGCGGCTGTACGTACGTACCCTGCCCGCCGCCTACCTACCTAGTAGTAACCTAGTGTAGGTAGCTCACATGGAAAATGCGTGTCGCTGCCGCATGTTCCTCTGCTCGAACCCTGCAAATTGTGAAACAAGCCTGGCGCACTGCTTCAGAAAATAGCTTGGACAACTAACTTTCCGCGCCAGTCCACTTCCAGCCATCCTTTTCTGCCATGGGTCACCCTCGCATCCGCTCTTTCCACACCCCTCCTTCTCGCGTGCACCTCTCTAGGTATAGCAGGAACGCTTTACTTTCCTCGAGTCACGAACATGCCTACCTACTATACGGAGTAGGTAGCATAGTATCGTGGCTGGCTGGCTGGCTGCACTAGGTATACAGCTCGATGCGAGATGACTTGCTGCCGCGTGCTACCGCCCGGACTGTTGGGGTACAGAGTGAAGTTTGACAAAAACAAGCAATGTCTTGCGGTTTCCGCGGAACCATTGGATGACCTCACACCAATTGGGTTGGCCAACGACAGTCTTTCCTGATGGCCTCCATCAACCTGCAGGCGAGCAGGCCACGTCTCGCCGGCCACTGGCGCTCGGCTTCTCGTCGACTTTCATGCAGAGCATTTTCCACCTCGATACTGGCCCATGGTTTTTGCTTCTTCTGCACAAGTTGCATCGGTTACTCATAGCAGCGCTTGCTTGCAACAGTTGAACTGGCCTGGCCTGACCGGCATCTGAGTGGTGTCGTTGATCGGGCCGCCTGAGTCGCGTATTGCCGTCTAACTGACTAAGAGCCCGTTATCGGTCGTATGGAGATCTCGGGGTCATGGGGCAATGCCGTTTTGACTCTTGCCATCCGATCCGGGCAGGCCTTCGACCTTACCGTTACGGTGCACTTACCACTTTACGGATTACCGCCTTCAACTACTACTATACTATGCAGTGCTGCTATGATCAAGACCGAGTGGGCTCTTCGGTTATCATTCGCAATCGTAGTCCGCATGGGACCACCAAAAACAAGAGTGCGGCAACGTCGTACTCGTTAGTCGCTTTATTCCGGCTCGGTACTACTGATTCGGCAGATCGACGGCCCATCGCGACGGAACGAGTACCAGAAAAAAAAAAAAAAAAAAAAGGCCGCGGTCAAATTGGTCCATGGATGAGGGTTCGTGACCCGAGACCCCATGGAGCAGAATAACGACACGGCGTCGAAATGAATGGGGACCACGGCCGAACCTCGGACAGCACTGTGTCTCCATGCAAGGTACGGGATCCCAAGCATCAGGCTGCAAAAGGCGCGCGCAAGACGGCAAATCGGCGTTTTACGCTGCGTAGGGATTCGAGAGCGGGACATTTTGCACCCATGGCCGATGGACCGTGGTTATGTCTGTTTGATCATCCCCCAAGAATGCGACGCACGCTACCCCAAGCTTTCTGAAACCCCAAGCCAGCAACTGCCAGCTGCAAGTCGCCTGCCTCGGGGCCTCGAGACCGCGAGGCCCAACACCCCGCCCCGCCCAGGATGCGGTGCGGTTCGCTATCGTGGTCGACGTGGGCGGTAATGATGATGGTGGTGGTGGTGGTTGCAGCATGTCCAGGCAAGGCAAGCAAGCCCACGCTAGGCCCGAGTCAAGGTCCGGGCCCAGATTCAGGTTCAGAGGGAAGGCGACGACCAGCTATCCCGCCTCAACTGATCGTCCCGTTACCGTGGCCGTGTTCAGTGCGCTCCGTCAGGTTGTGAGAGTTCAAGTTGACCGCTGTCTAACTTGTGCTTACCGCACGGCCGGGCAGTACTATATCCACTTATCTGGGAAGTGCTTTTCTGTCATATGTTGCCCACAGCGAAGACCCGACGAGTGCTGTCAAGTTGATGGATTGGAGTCCGCGGCTCGGGCTCCGGGGCTTCAGTCCAACTAGCAAGCAACGAGGGCGGAGATGTGTCCTCAACAGGAATGTGCCCCGTAAGCCTGAATGTCACGATACCATCTGCGGAGCCCCTCCTTAATCTTAGATGTTTACCACCCTCTTCTGCGTTCTCGCAGCTAGCGGTAAACAATAGAGGGGCTTCGGGAGGCTCTAGAATATTGGGCGACGATCACCCTCCTGGCAGGCGCATCCTGTCCCGGCGCGGGCACATCGTGAGACTTGTGCTGAGGAGACTGCAGTGGTCGTGGGACTGGATAAGTCAAGTTGGGCAGGGATATGCGTGTCGCCTATAGCCGTCGACGCAAGGGAGGGCCAGTGCCCGGAGCTGAGCCAACAGGTCCGTCCATGTGAGTGTTTACGAATCAGCTCGAGGTGCTGAGGCCATCGATGCCTGCTGCTATTTTTGAGCCCAGAAGTGGATAGCGGAACCTCATCACAGGAATTGGACCATTCCAAACCCCCAAAACACGCGCCTCCCCAGGTGCTCGTACCTGCAATAGGTGGTTGCCGGCGATTCAGACTCGCTGCACCACGCGGCCATTGGCGACGTTGATGTTCATATTCTCCGAGATGGCATCGTGGTCTCAGATGTCAAGCGTAACGCCTGAGGAACGCCGTCATTATGGGCTCGTCCCCGCCAAGCAAACCCGCTGGCGGGGGCCTTTCTTGCCTCGGTGGAGCAGCACTAGCAGCAGCAGCAGCTTCTTCCCATTGAGGAAAGAATGGTGATCAAGTCTAGACCCCTCGACGCACGCCGCCGGCATGTCTGTCAGCTTGGTGCCAATTCGTCATGACGTGGGCCTGGTTGACCAGTGAGCAAGCCAGACAGACAGGCACGCTGCTCATGGATCATGATTAAGTCGAGGGAGAATTGTGCTTGGTCACTCGGAACGAGGCCTTGGGCACAGCGTCGCATGGGATGGATGGGGATGCTGCTCGTCGAGTCGTGCTGACTGATCCCGGAATAGGCAGTTTCAGGAAAGGACCCTGGGTGGATTCGGCCTAAGCTTAAGCCGCAGGACCCAATCAGAATCCTGAAGAGCTGGCCCTGCAAGCGCTTGGAGCTCTTCAGGCTTCTCATTGGCTCCCTCAGAATCATCCCATGATGCGGAGTGGAGCCCAGAGGGCCGTCTTAGGTACGTACCTTGACTCTCACACACCTGCGAGTGGCCGCCCGTCGCCAGCCAACCACATCCACTCGCTCTTACCTATTCTCTCTCTCCCGCTGTTTCTATCGGCTATTGCTCTCTTGCAACGTCTGGCCTGGTGTCCTTCCCGTCCCACCTATTGGACTGGGACCACACACACACACACACACAGCTATACCACACATACCCACTCGCATCACGATGGATCCGGACGGGCCAGAAATAGATCCTGCTGCTTCAAAGTTACTTGCTTGTCTGTTCAATTGGGGATCGTTGCACGGCGCATGCGGGAGTGAGATCGGGTCGCAGAACCTTCGGCCGCCTCGACCTTGCTCCGGTGTGTGCTCGGCGGCTGCTGAGATTACCTGCCTGCCGTTCACCACCTCTCCTTTACACCACTTCAACTGCCTGCCTTTTTGTTTCGTGCCTTGCTGACGAGGGGCTCCGGCCCGCCAGCAGGTTGAGGACCTTGACGCCGGCACTGCATATGCCGCCGAGGAAACAGGAATAGAAACATCACAAGCGACGCGGTGATGTGATGTGACTGGCGGCCTACGTGGGCCTCGAGGGAGAAACATCGATTTCCTAAACTAGGCGGTTGCCCAGCTCTAGCTCAAGCGGCATAGGGAATCGCCCAGCAACGACACACTACGAGGAACAACCCTAGCGATGAGGTGAAACTTGAACCCCCGACGACCTACCTAGTGGTAGTTTACCAGGTACGGAGTGCCTGTAGAGAGAGCGACCGGGATCTAGGTCTGTCGGTAGTCGACCTTGGCTGGCCTCACCACCGCCCACACTACCTACCGTCAGCTAGGTAAGTATTTCTCCGGCCGCGTGACGGCTGCCATCGCTGGCGTACCTGCCGCTCACCTGTCAGACCTGCACGGTAATCCCCGGACAGTGTGAGCGAGTTCCACCAGATTAGATTAGTGTACATAGTACAGTACTTACTGCAAGCGGGAGGCTTTCTTCAAACTTTGCGGGTCGGTTCGGAAGTCGTTGACATCTCGATACCCCAACCGGCACAAGGCCCGCAGGCAGTAAGTATCTCGAGTTCCTGGATAGATACGGCTCGGTGGGGCTGGGAAAGCCCCCAACCTCTGCGAGAACCTGAAACGACAGGGGAGAGATGGCTGATCTTTTTCGCCTCGCTGAGTCGACGAAACATGACACTTCGACGTCGACTTCTTTCTTGACCCGTAGTGGTGGGCACCACGACAACCTCAGTGGGAAGGAAAGCAATGCCTCCCCCCTTCCAGCGCCGTGCCGGCCGCTTCCAATCACCCAGGACGGTATGATTCGTGCATGAACCTGCCTATTCAGTACGGACATCTACTGCGCACTGCGGTGCGGTTCTCCCTGCGCTTAAGCCCAAGTTGCGGTGACGGCGGGGAGCCACCGTAAACGATGCAACACACCACCAGCCAGCTATGCCAGCATGCACCCAGCCATCTATTTCCGCCGTGGTTTCCTTGACAAAGTTTCCCCCACCCTTGCTACGACGCTGGCCGGTTCTCTACCGCGAGCACGACCGACTGCTCGTGTTGATGTCAACCCGCAGGTCCTTCTCCGGTTTTCCCCTGCACCCGGCGACTTTGTGATTACAGATAGACGCAGAACATGGGTATCGCCGCGTTGCGCCTGCGGTCTAGAAGCGTCACGGTGTGCTTGAGCCAATGTTGTGCAGCACCCGAAACACGACGAGAGGGGCGATTTTCAGGTACATGAAACACGAGCGACGAGCCATCTAACGACATGTCGCGTTGTCTTCCAGAACGATTTGAGGTAACGATCGCCCGTTTATGCCGGTGTTGGACCTGCTGGCCTCGCTACCTGTACGAAAAGGGGCTTGTTTCCCAGCAGGGCTAGAACTGGACAATTACACTGCGTCCCTTGCTCGCGGACTCGGGGTCCCTCTGCGCCGTATCCATCTTTCTCGACCGTTCCTGTTGCTTCAGCTACGCCCCGGCACCACTCATGAGATCCTTTCCCCCCAACGGTGGCCAGATGCCAAGAGTGGCGGAAGGCAGACATATCAAGATGAGCTCCGCTACGGGTGCTTCTCGCGTCGAGCTTCGCGGGCCGCGGCAGCCAGGCAGCCGGGCACAACTCGGCTTGGCTGCACACTATCCGCGCGAACTACCACTCACCTAGTGTACGCCTTCTCGAATCAGACTAGTCGCCGGTCGCCAGCCAGCAGCAGCAGCAGCAGCAGCAGCAGCAGCAGCAGCCTCATACTCTCCGTCGCGGACACCCAGCAATCCCGTACTCGGGGGAAACTGCCCAATGGATATCACACCGCCGTCCTCCTAAGTGCGGACGAGGCGTCAGCTGGCCAGTGTCATTTCCCAACTTGGACATACGACTGTGCTAACTGCTCTTATTTTTGGCCGTATCTCAAACTTGACGGCATCTGCCATCAGGTCTTTTCCACCCTTTCCTCCATCGGTTCTGCCGCCCACCTGCTCTTGTTTCACATCGCCACGTTTGTTTCGCCGCCCCAGCAATCCCATGGACATGAACAGGCTCATTCCCACCACGCACCGTCCCTCTCTGTCCCGCAGTTTACGTAGTCGTCCAAAGCGGTAAACACCTGGCTAGGTCGGCTTTCATACGGCATGGGTGGCGCACACTACTGGTGAAGTGTTCTCGACGCTTTGACCGAGTTGCACAGGTAGTGCTCAGGCAGACATCTGAAACCTTGACAGACGAATTGTCCAGTCTTTTTTCCGTCACTAACAGACGTCTCCTCCCTCCGTCCCTCTCTGTCTCTCCGGCGTCCGCGGTTGCATTCACCCGCCTCGTGGTCATGCTATGCCGCCTGCCTTGACTGCTATAGTCCGCGTCCGTGGGCGAGGAAGCGCCGACATAGCCTACCGAGCTGCATGGAACCCTTCCATCTCGCAACCGAGCTTTGCCTCCATCACCGGTTGTTTCTAGCCCACCTGCCCGCTTCCTGCCTCCGTAGCGGATCGCGATGCTACCTACCTGTCACTGTCAGTCTGCGCCACTGGCGCCTGCTGCTTCCAAACGAACAGCACCGACGGGCCCATCAAGCCAGACCTTGTCAGCCGGGCAAACATCCCCTCTCCCGCTGTTCGCTGCAGCCCAGCGTCTGCCCCCCCCCCCCCCCCCTCCACTTCCTGGCCCATGATCTTCCAGGCCCAGGTCTTCCCAGATCGAAGAGCTTCCTCGGCCTCGCCTCGCCGGTAGACCCCTGGACGAGATCGACTTCTGAAACCGCAGCCCTCGTCCGGCTGCGCCTGCTATTGGTGTATGCCGCCCTGAGGCATAAAGATCCGAGGACGCTCAGACTTGGGACACGCAGGGAAGCGCCGCTCTCTCTCGTCCGGTTGACTCGTTTGGTCCCCTGAAAATAGGGGTGGCCTGCCGGGCGTCGCCTCCGACTGGCCGGGAGGCGGGATGGCGAGTACGCGAGGAACCAAGAAACCTGCATATTGACGGATGCCTTGTTCCCTGCACGTGGCGCCTCGTGAACTCTCAAGGGAGGGAGAGGGGAAGGTTTGCCGAGCCCTTCATGCTGTCGCGCTTGGCGTCGGCAAGGCTGGAGCGATCACCGAGGCGAGGACTGGGGACTTGGGGGCGAAAGGATGGGTAGACAGAGAGGAGAGGGAGGAGGAGGAGGAGGAGGAGGTTGTCGTAAGCTATGCTTCCCTCGTTGCATCGGTATTGTGGACGGCCATGAGGCGAGTCGGACGGGGGCCAAGAATCGATGACGGCGAAGGAGGCAACAGCCAGCCATCCTTCCCCCCCCAGTGTCTGAAGATGTCTTGCCGTAGCATGACGATGACTTGACAGCCCTGTACCATGGCATCACCAGGCCTATGCCGTTCCTCCACTTTGCCGCCGTTCGTTCTCTTCTTCCTCCTGGTACTGTCGACTGTTGTTGGGCTTGCTTGGACGGGTTCAGCCGGTCCGGATACGGCCCTCCATCCTCCCCCGGTTCTGTTGTCAGCATGACTCCAAAGGGCACAAGCAAGGCTTTGCTGTTCAGGGCTGTAGTCTATTTATCCGGAATCCAGCATTTACTTGCCACATGTGCTGCCCCCGGTGTTCCCTTATTTATGGGAGGGCGAGAGGGAGAGGAGGAGTGAATCGGTTCACATTGCGAGTCGTGGGCGGCGGTACGCAAACCTCGCCTGATTCTGGCAAATGTACCGACCAGAGAGGGATACCGAGATGATGACGGTCTCTCTGGAGCAAGGCACTGCTGACTTGGACCCCTTGCAACGGGAACTGCCCTCACAGCTTGGGCCGAGTTGGCGGCATCAAGAATGGCATTATTGCCCGCGTAGCGCCGTGCCCGGAAAGCCCTTGGCCATTGCGCGTAATCAGAAATTAGGGTTTGAATCATCTGCTTCTAGAAAGAGGATTTGCCTCCTTGTTTTTTCTTGTTTTTGCTTTCTTTTTCTAATTCTCGGGACGACAAGGACCAGAGGCAGGGCGGGGCGGGCACGGGACTGCGACTGACTCTTGGTTTATTATTCCCATTCACGTGTGCCCGATAGCCCGACGTGGGCGGCGGATCACCGCGTGGCTCCGAAGGGTTCGGTTCGCGTCAGACTTGTCCTCCTCATCGTTGTCCTCCGTCGTTCCCCCTCCTGCCAACCCTGGCTGGGTGAGGCGGACGATCCGAACCAAGAGTGCGGGGGGAGGGGAAGGCGGGAAAAAAGGCAAACGGGGAGAAAAGAGGCAACTCGCCTCCGAATGTGGAAAAGTCTCTTTCCTGTCTCTCCAGAGTGGGGGAGACTATTGCGTGGGAATGACGGAGCCCGGATCTCTCCTTTGAAGTTTATTCAGGTGTTTAAAATAAAATAAAAAGTTGAGTTGGGTTCGGCTGATCATGGCATGTTGTGCCCGTGTGCGAAGCAACCGAGTATCTAGAACCCCCCCTCCCCACCCCCCTCAACCGCTGCGTGCGTGTGTTCGTGTTGGTTGGTGGGCGGAATGTATGCTGCTCGCGCGTGTGTGTGTACGTATATTGACTCGAGGTCCTTAATGATCTGATGTCGGGGTCGGATGGGATTGTGTGACGGTGACGCCGACGGGCGAGCGAGCGAGAGAGGCAGAGAGGGACTACTCGATCGTGGTGGGTGGTGACCCGTCTCCGGGTCTACGCAACCGCAGTCCTCTTGCGCACCATGTATGGATGGGTGGGGGGTTTCTGGTTTGCTTCTTTAGTCATTGAAGCGCGGTTCGCCATGAGAAAGACAAGTGTCTCCCGGCGGGAGAGCTGTCGGTCCTCTCTCGAACGAGGCGTTTGCGGCAGCTTTAGTTCTTCCTGCCCGCTGTCTCGGGACACCACACACTGCCCACCGCCCACACCCCCCTTTCGCTATGAGCTGTTGTTTCAATGACTTGTGGCGTGATACGTGATACGCAATATGGCGTTGGGTGCACCCCCGAAATTGTCCGGGTCACGATGGTGGAGGGCCGAGGTCCCGTGCCGGTTTCCTGTTTGCTGCCGACCGGTGGACCAAGGCCGGGTCGATGTTATGAATCGCAAGCAGTCTCTTGGCCGTCGATCATGTTTCGTTGTTTGGGGAGGCTGGAGGACACCACGTTGTTTGGCACCAACATCTCTTCTTGTTGTCTTGGGTCTGCATTCGTGTCCGTAGAGCTCGGGAATCCTTTCTGGTCGAAACCGTACTGCCGTCGTCGGATCTGCTATCACGCGCGTACACGGTATCACTTTGAATCAGTATCGTTCGTCCTGATGCTCCACATCCCATCCAGTCAGCTTATGCTAATCCGGTACGGCCCCCATACGGCCTCTGTCGAGGCAGTAAGAAACAAATTTGGCCCTTGCTGTGTTCCCGGCAGAGCGGGTTTGTTATTATTGTTATTATCATTATGGTCATGACGATTGTTACTGTTGCTTGGTTAGCGATCCACCGGTGCTACCTGCATCCTGGGATACACGTTCAGATGAGATATTCACGATGTTGAAACATGTATCAAGTCGTTCAACTATTCAGTCGTATCCACGGGGGAAACGAAACACCCGGGAGGCTGCCATATTGGCCATGGCCGCGCTTTTCAAGTATCCCATAGCTCAACTGACCATGGCAGTCATCCAAGGACCACCCCGATGTCCTGCGGCCATGTCCTGAGTCTTGCTTCATACATCCCAAGCTTGGTCGAGGTAACCAGCTGTCTGGAGTAAACATTCTCGGTCTCTAGTCACTCTGCTGCCCTTCTCAAGGGAGTGCAAACAAGACGTGTGAGACGTTCGTAACCCTAACAGGGCGTGTCGTACGCCCCCCCACAACCCGATCGTGACGCTACTCGGACTACAGGCCTAGTGGCCCTCGGTCGAAACAAGCTCAGCGGATTGATTGACATGCTGCCAGTCAAAGTCAGAACTATGGTTTCTATTGACATGCCCCCGCTCGTTCTCTCTTCCGAAGGGCCTTTCCGTTCTGCACAGGCGGGTGGCTGCCTTGAGCCATGCAAGCCTCTGTATCACCGCGTCGAAGCTTCTGAAGCAGATTACAAGTGGCTTATCTATGGTGTACAGTCTGTGACGCTTCGCCTGTTGTCCCCTGTGATTTGCTGAGGAGGTAAAGAAGGCTTGAATGGGGCTTGAGCTCCGGTGTCAGGTAGACTATGTCGCTTGTTGATGTCCCTGAGACTGCATTTTGAAGTAGACAGACCATTCGGACAACATCGCCAGTACCAAGGGCCCCATTTGGCCACGGTTTTCCAGGCATTAGAACCCTGGTAAAGCTACCCTTCTTCTATCATATCTAGTGCCATTTTGCGGATGCGGTTGTTGCTACAGGATCACAGGACGTCGCGTAACCCATTTGGGCGGTTCTTGACATACGCCTCCCCCTAAGCCAACGATTTGTAGACACCATCCGGGGCAAGTCCTCGATCTTTACAATCAAGCAATCATCTTAGCCAGATACCTAAGAGTATCCTGTTGCTATGAGTTGTGCTGCCTAATCTTTCAAGTCCTTCTCGAGACCCGAGTATGTCGATGGCGTTGCACATTTGCTGAAACCTGTCCGTGTGCTAGAGCCGGTTTCTACAGCCCGTCACGCCAAAAGGAAGAGGTCAAAACCACCTCCTGCTTCTATTTCACCAAGAGATATACGATCAGTGTAGCTCTTACGGGAATACAATTAAGAAGCAGCTACCGTGACGAATGCGAGACTAACACATAATGATGGGTTTATACATCCGGGCAGGAAAGAAGATACAGAGCAGTGCGACGCCTATAGTGGTTTCTACCTAGCAGTCACGGTTCTACAGATCAAACCCTCCTGCTTCTAGGTCTATTGCTTTTCATATTTTGTCACTGCAGCATTCTCTGCTAGAATGACCTCGAACTCCAGGTTCGTATAGGCTTTCACCTCCACAAACTGAGTCTCTTCTAGACTGAGTGAGGATCCAGTGAATATTCAAAGTAGACTCCGAGCTCCATGGTGGATTTAAGCGAGACACCACAAGGATCACTGTATAGAAGCGAAGCTAAGGTTCCTGGTATGCTGCTATGTGTGACTCTGGCATACACGTGAGTTGGCTCCGACATACGACTACTTTGTCAAGGACATGAACGGCAGCGTTCAACAGTGCGCAATCCCAGTATTCATATTCCTTTTGAGAAGCTAACCTGGTCATCAAAGGACAGAGCCACTGTCGCTCACGTTAAACGGTAAGACTGCAGATCTCATTATTCATGGAGCATGAAAGGCTTCACAAACATGAGGTTAACAGCCTTTTGCTACCTGGGCAATACAACTCTACGCCAAGCCCAACGATATCTGTATCCAAGTAGCTACTTGTACCAATATGGTAGGACGCCTATTAGCATGTGCTATTTCCAGCACAATTTTCATGCTCGCATGACAATAGAAGAAGTAAAAGGGTTGTCAAGGCGAAGGGTTCTACTGAAATCGCGCTCTATCATGTATCATCACTGTGTTGAAGTTGCTCTTCTGCAGCCGTTATCTATATTCATATTCTAGGCCTACCAGTCTCTATGAGATAGAAACTTGGCATCGCCATGAATCCAGAAAGTCTAGTAGATATTTAGAGCGTGAAAGAAAACAGTTCGCTCGGGGCATTGTTTTGGACAAGTCTTACTACTGATCTCTATTGTGATATAGCACAGAAACCAACAATGGTGAATAATCACAAGGTAAATTGAGCATTCCGAGAACAACCTCCCTGATTTTCATAGTAAAGCTTATATTTAAGATCCGCAAGAGAACCAGCATGTGACGTGGGAATTATTCTGGACGCTTAATTACTGGATCTATTCTCGATCCGTGGGTGGTATGGCTTCGTGAAGACTTGATAGCGGTGGCACCAGGGGGATATTGGCTGATACAAGACTGCAAAGACCGAGAAGTATTTTCTTTGCGTATGGGTTTACTTCAAATATACATACAGAGGAACCTTCTCGTGCTTCACTTCAATTTGAGTGGCTCGCTACCGCGGCCGCATACGGTCCCAGACGCAACAACAAAAGAATCGAACAGGCCCAGCCATAATCGCCCTGAGAGAGGCCGTGTACGAGCCTTTTGGTCTCAGCAATGAGATATAGATTCAAAAGAGGCTCTTAATAGTTGCAGTTGCCTCGTAGAACTGCCAGCTTAACCCAGAGTGCTTACAAGGGCTGTCCGCGACGTTGTTGGGAGCACCACAAACCCACCAGGCTTAAGTGCGGTGATTTCCATCAATCAACAGACTGGAAGTACTATTTAACCCCTGAGGGACACCACAGATAGAGTTTCGAAGGGAAATACAGACCGCAGCGTTTGGAGAAAATGAGGTCTATGGGCACATCACCGGGCTACTACGACCTCTCCTACCCTGGATGCACAATCTTCTACTCGCCAAGTCAGCACGGATGTAGCCGAATCGCTACGTATCAGATAAAAGTGCCATGAAGATGGCGTCTTCGCGTTTTCCTATGGCTTATTACTACATTCTTGTCGCTGGTCGCCTACAGCTCGGATTGTGTGGTCGCCTGAGATGGCTTAACCCGTCACTTGAAAGGCAGTTGTTTTCGACTCTTTTAATATATGTAAAAAAAACTCCAACAGCTCATAGGTCTTAATAAGAGAGAAGGTAGATTGTTGCCACCTAAAAGCTTTCCGTCCTGTCATCAGGTGCTTGGCTATCCTGAATGGAACAAGCTAGAATACCCGCAGGCGAACTGAACAGCCTCAGTGCCCTACCTATATGGTAGCAACTACAGACTTTCTGTGAAGAGTCTGAAAGTAATATGAAAGAAGAGTATATCCAAGGCTGATTTAGAGTATAGGATAATGTGGCTGGTTATCAGCACAAGGGTGCCGAGCAGCAGATAACCAGCAACAAGTATGTTGTGACAACGACCCAGACCGGAAATGGCGAAGCATCAGGTCAATACCCAACTGTGGAAAGTCAAGAATCATGGGTAAACACAATACAAACAGTGGGAGGGCCTCTCGTCGCCTTCCTTCCGCCGTGGAAGCTGGCAACATATCCAACTGGGGAGCTAAATAGAGAGTGTCGAGTTAAAGGGGGGGATGGGGATCTTCGTCTTTCTCTCCAGCCCTGTAAGTAACTAAAAAGATGACCAGTAAAGACAAACATTCAAAAGCAAAGTGATCAGGGAGCCCTTTGACCTATGAATACCTCCATGGCCCTATGGAGCGCTTGCGTTATGGCAGTAGCCCTCCCATTATACTGTGCCCAGAACCGCAGAACGGCGTAAAGCATTCTTCTGGGTACTAGGTAGCATAGCGTTGGAAGCGTCTTGTCAGAGAAGTAGGGGCCGGGAGCCATTAGGCTGGCGATAGCGGCAATGCATCCATTCGACAAGGCAGCCCTCACGACGGGCTCGGTCCACGGGCACTATCCGGGAACACGCGGAAGCGGCGCTTCCCCCTAGACGGTTGTTCTCGTACACGCCGGAGAGAACCGCTTCACACGTCTTTGCATGCGTCAACTATCGTCTGTGCCGTTCAAGAGACGAGTGCACATTTCGGGCCAGCGAAACATCGCGCGATTCGGTTCTTGCTCCGTCAACTCGAAGGCGATAGGCAGTCAGTCCATGCCATTCGGAAGAACATTTACCAATCTTTCCGATTTTGTCTTGTAGAGCTACAAACAGTTTCTCTAGGGATAAGTTACCGTCTAGAGCATGAGGTGCCGAGTATAAGCATCGGCTGGAGGAAGCCGGTTGCAGTCTCGGCTGTAGTAACCGTACGGGATTTCATGCCTATCGCCAGCCCACCGGACAGGAGCTCTGACACCGATTATTGTGGACATTCTAGTCCAAAGTCAACTTGCGAGGCATGGGAACCATATATACGTATTCCTGCCGCAGAAAACATCAAGATATCCTACTATTCTTCACCTTGGAATAGCCTCATTCACTGATCACACAACAGTGCCACGCTTGTATATATGCAACCCCGACCGGGAGCCCCTAGCCTCGAATCTGACTTTGGGCCAAGAAATGCATTGGAGTCTCTTCAGACGATGCAGGGCAGGGCGCAAAGATGGGATGCAGTGACCCCCCCCCCCCCCCCCCCCCCCCCCGAACGACACCAGGATGTTGAGGATCATCTCTCTTGGCACGATACAAACATGGTGACCGGGAGGGGGGATATTCGGCGTCCGTATCTACAGTACATTCCCTTTCTCAAACGTCTAATTTCCGATTTCACGTGGCCAAGCCTTCTTGAGACGTTGTCAGCATTCTCGATAAACCTTCACCTGTACGATATACCAGGCAAACGGGAGAGCCCCAGTCGAGGTGGGTGGTGACGATCAGTTACACTTCCTTGACGGCGTCTTCGCGCGAACAAGTACGGCACGGCTGTCTTGGCATCGGGTTGGAATTAGAAACAGGCTGGCCCAGGGGCTGACGGAGGCGTTGTCATCGTCGTCGTCGTCGTCGT